TAAAAATCCAGTGGAGTTAAATTTGGGGATCGTGGTGGCCATACTTGTTGTGGAATTGGCCGCGGTGGTAGTGCGTCCGACTCACGATCAGAAGGTCGTGTGTTCGATTCCCGCCTCGACCAGATATTTTTCTCGAGAGAATTTATCTGGTTGAAGCTGGAATGATTCTGAAACCGTGTTAGGAATCACAATGTGAAGGTATGACAGTTGTCAAACCCAAAGTAATCCTATACATGTTTGACTTTCTTCATCAATTTATATATTCAATTTATTGTTTTTGACTCATTTTACTGCCCCGAAGAAGCTTCTCATTAGAAGCGAAAGCTTGGCAGAGTAGAGCAAAGTTTTGATTTTTTGACTGAGAGACCCGTTAACCCCGTGTCTTGATATAGATACAGAAGATAATAATCGAACATAGCACTAACGAAAGTGGCAAAACTTAGACACCTGTTCCAGGCTTTTGGCCCATCATCAGTATGGTGTAGCCAAGTGTAAGGATGGGCAACACTTGGTTACCAAAAGATAGAAATACACACATTTGTGGTTTCAGTTAATAGATCTTGTGTTTACAAGAAAACTATCAAAATTACCACGAAGGCAGCTATAGCTACCTGCGTGACATCCGGATCCAGGATGCAAAAACTGTCGAAACATATAGATTCAACATCAGGATTCGTTGCATTGTTGAAATCACTTGTAATTACAAGGACAACTCCCAACCGGTCACAGGTGCAGATAAAGCAACCTGCGTGACGAAAGTAGGATGTATGATTAACTATCCAGCTTGACCAAAGTATTTTAAGAATGCTTTCTAGACTTTCCTAATTATACAGTGCATTTTTTTAATGTCTCCCCCCACTGTTATTTTTTGAACGGGTCAATAAAAATTTGGAATAATGAAATCAATGCATGAATACTTTATTTTGAAATGAAATTGACAAATGAAACTTTCAAGATGGCTACTGGGCGCCATCTGGGAAAAAAGAATTAAATGGAAAGGGGGTCGGGGTCTTGTGATACATCTTTTTGAAGCTCCTGACAAATGCTTCACAACCCTAGAATATAATGTCAATATCTTCACCTACATTGACATTTAACTACATAATATGAGGTAATAAGCATGAGGTCAGTTGAACTTCTTGACATATGAACAGCCTATCAGATATTTCACGATTTTCGAACACAGTAACGTCAATATCTCTACAAATATTTATTATTCTCTGCCGTATATCCAATATTGAAGCAGGTTCAGTTTCGTACACCTTTTGCTTCAAATGAAAAAAGTCCAAAGGAGTCAAATCTGGCCAGCCGGCTGGCCATTCTGTAGAACCTTGACAGCCAATCCAACGACCGGTATCCAAATAGTTTCTTACTTGTCTGGAGTAATGTGGTGGTGCTCCATCTTGTTGGAATACAATATCCATACTGAATTCATTAGGATTCGCTTTGACGATTTCAGTGATGAGAGGGTCAACGGTAGTTTCCAGCATATTCAAATACAGTTCCCTGGTCCTACAATATTCTTGCCCAAACGTTAATTTTTCTGTTCTTCGATCAGGGTCATCTTCAGTTGATTGGTGTACCATTTTAATTTTATATGAATGATACCTATATCTCTTCAAAAGTCTCCACACAGTAGAAGGAGACACCTCACAAACATTCGCGACGAGATAAGTAGACTGTTTAGGTTTTACTACCATCTCGACAATTATTTGCACTTGTTGTTCTTCCGGAATGGACGGATGACCTGCAGACTTTTGACCGGTAGTTGTGAATTTGGATACAAGTTCCCTCAAATATTTTCTACAGATAGGACGATTCGGAAAACGTTAATTGAAAATTCTTTCGGTCTCGTGAAAGTTACATGTCGCACGAAATTGATCATTTTAGAGATTAATAACGTGGTACCTTTATACTAGTAAAACCGATAACTAAATGATAATATTCTAACTGAACAATGATGTTTATTGTCGTACTGACATTTTTTGACGTTTTTATAAACAAAAAATAACAAACCTTATCGGGTTGTTGGAATTGCCACATGGCAGATAAAAAGGAATAATAATAATAATATGCTTTATTATCCATAAGACATATTCTTGTAAAAAAAGCTTGGGTAGTAGTACATACTTGAGAAAATGCAATACACACCAGCTGAAATAAAAATATAAATGGTCCATGGGTACAAACTATGTTAAGATGGAGGATATAAAAGATATGTATATATAAGAGTAAAAGTCAAGTTTATAAAAGAATAGACATAAAAAGTAACAACTTAAGAGCTCCTTAATAAGTAAAGATAAAAAATAAGTGTAAGTCAGTTAAAAGCTATCGTTAAAATATTCATCCAAAGTATAATAGGGTCTATCAGATAGAAATTTTTTGACTAACTTCCTGAATTGGAAATCATTTATATTGGCAGATCTTATGTCCATTGGCAAATGATTGTACGTTTTCCATCGTGTAAAATATGAAGTGTCTGGTAATGTTTTTGGGTTGACACAGTGAGTTTCAGAGTGTGTCTGCAGTTTCGGGTGTTATAATGGGAAGAGGATGGAGCAAAATTTAATATATGCTTATTCATTAAACACACAGATTCCAGTATACATTTTTTAGAAATATCAATCTTAATGTGTTTGTCTTCAGCAAATTATTAAATGTTCCGTCATTTTGTAGTAGGTGAAGATATTGACTTAATATTGTTAAGTATTCGTCAGGAGCTTTAAAATATGTATCACAAGACCCCCCTTTCGCCCAGTCGCCATCTTGAAAGTTACATCTGTCAGTTTCACTTCAAAATAAAGTATTCATGCATTGATTTCATTATCCCAAATTTCAATTTTTTGAGTTGACCCGTTCAAAAAATAAAATGGGAGGAACACTGCAGGAAAAATCCGACCCAGGCAGCAAAGTGCCTGCATAATTGAAACCCTCCTCTAAGAGAAAGATTATTAACTAGTAACAGCTCCATCTCGTGAACAATGCCCCAAGTGGGGAAAAACACCCCATGTATCAATACCATTCCAATACTCTAACAGAGATCAAAACGTGTCTGAAGACTGTGTCGAAGCGAGATACATATGTATAAGAAAATAAATATAATTCAATATCCAGCGAGGTATAAGCCGAGGAAGTAGTTGTTTTTCAGCAGGCATTTTCTGGAACCTACTGTGTAGGTTCCAGAAAATTGTTGTGGAATTGGCCGCGGTGGTAGTGCGTCCGACTCACGATCAGAAGGTCGTGTGTTCGATTCCCGCCTCGACCAGATATTTTTCTCGAGAGAATTTATCTGGTTGAAGCTGGAATGATTCTGAAACCGTGTTAGGAATCACACGTTAAAAGGTAATACCTCGTTAGTCCTTAGCTCTCACAAGTTTCTCAACTTCTGAGAGTTGTAGTTCGTATGGGGGCGGCAGCTGATTAACGGAAAAACAGATTTTTTTTAAAACAGACAGGTAGTTGGGAGAGATGAATGTTGTTTAGAAACATTCATTTTCTTAATCATGTTATCCTATAAATGCTGATTCAGATCAAGTAAACTGCTGAAAGTGATGATCAAGATAATCTTCAATACTGTGAGAAGTTTCATCAGTTACGAAGTTGTTTACTGCTTTTGTGAAATGCGGGAGATGATTCAATCTATTCTGGAAGTTTTCTGCCACTGTAGATATTGAATTTTTATCAGACCTGATGCTGGAATTTGTAAACGTAAGTTATGTGGATCTTTTCTGGTGGTTGTGTGCTGCCGTCTGTATTTCTGTTTTTATGGATTAGACAGACAATCTTTAGTATAAGTAGCGAAGGAAGCCAAAGAAGCTTGTGTTTGTGAAATATTGGAAGGCAGAAGTATCCAGCACCACTAATGTACCTCAGCGCTCATTTTGTAATCTAAATAGACTGATTAATACGTGATCACTGCATGAACCCCAAAAAGGTAATCCATATCTCAATACCACTTTCCACTTTTTTTGAAACATGATAGATATGTTCTCCCTACTTTCAATGTAGATTCCAAAAAACTTTGTCGATTCAACAGTAACAACCATTTCATTATTGTATTTCAACATTATTGCAAAGGATGAAGAAAATGATAGTTTTTCAAATCCCACCCGTGATATTACGCGCCACTCTGAACACACACACACACTCTGAACAACATTTTCAATAATAAAATAAAAAAAAGGAAAATTTTCAAATTATTTATTTTCAAGTTAAAAAGTTTGGATCACATCAATACATCAAACTGGAGGGATTTCTAAGAAAACACCACTGTACAATATTTATTGAATAATTTGTCAATAAAAGTGCAGTTTCATTTTCCGAATGGCCATTAAATGCAAAATTATATAAGACTGGACCCTAAAAATTTAAGACATCAGAAAGATTTCCACTTTTATGAAAATATTATTATATCACATATTCATTAATGATACATTTGGAAAATATGTGTAGTAACCAAAACTTGATTTTCCTCCTTTATTCACTTCCTTTATTTTTTATTCTCGGGAACAAGTAAAAACATTAAATATTATCAAAAAAAAATGTTAGAAGACATGTGAAAGTACCAAAATAATTACAGTTTACACATTTGTGAACTACTATTTTCAATTCCTTTTTTTATATAATCAGGTGGAATTTTTGCCATATTTGTTTTTGAAATATGTTCGGTTTTGATAGTTCGTACTCAAACCTCTGACGTAAAATGAATCTATTGAAAACGCTTTCCTAAAACCAGGACAAAAAATTACAGTATCTCGACGCGCGTTTCGCTAACCAAGTTAGCGTCCTCAGGAAATCATTATGACTAAATTTCACTATTATGTTAGTATTTTTATATCCTATTGGACTAACTAGTACCTATTAGTATTACCTAATACTAATACTACTACCTAATATAGTATTATATAACTATTACCTGTTATTGAATTTCACCAGTTCGGACTTCCATTGTCTAATATATAAAATGATTTGAAATCCCTGAAATAACTAAACAAGAAGAACTAAAAATAAAAAGCTGTAAATGACAATTATTTTTAATTCTTCTTTTTTAGTTGTTTCAAAGATTTCAAATCATTTTAAATATTAGATAATGGAAGTCCGAACTAGTGAAATTCATCACGAAACATTGTCATTACCTGTTATTAACCCTATGATAAACTACCTTTTGTTTTAATACCTCTAATTTGTTATGTATTTCCTCTATGTTAGTGATCATCTCTAATATTTATCGGTTTTTTTATTTAGAATAATTACATATAAGAGACCAAACAAAAGACTATTCAAAATAGGACCTTTCTCACTATTCATAGAACTTATTCCGCATTTTTCAATTTCCAAACTTTTGAAGGCATCCTGAAAGCTTGGAAATATAATAACTATCAAGTTATATAATACTAACTGGTGTAGTTAGGTGATACTAACAGGTTGTAGTTAGGCTGCTAGAATATAAAAATACTAACATAGTAGTAAAATTCAGTCATAATGATCTCCTGAGGATGCTAACATGGTTTTCAAAACGCGCGTAGTGAGACCTTCTTAATTTTTTGTTCTGGTGTTGGGAAAGTGTTTTCAATGTATGTTGGGTGTTTCTACCAAAACAATATGAGTTGCTAGTTACCACATTCCAAACTGTTATTATGATTCCCAGTGAATCAAAGAGTAAAGGAAATTTACCTTCAAATAATCAGTGGGAATCGATTGGTGCAATTTCAAAATCTAAGAGGATTTCTGCAAATTTTGCTTTCAATGGCCCAACCTTATTCCTTCAATTCTAATTGATTCTTGTTACAAAATAAAAATAATTATACACATGTATATGTACACCAATCTATTTGAAAGAGTCGAAATTTTATTGTAAATAAACTCAATACAACGTTAAGTAATATATGTTCACCAATCATTGTACAAAACTAAAACTCATACATAATAAATTTTACTCTAAATTCTTCAAAAAAAAAATAAAATAAAAAATATCTAATCTAGTCACCTTAATGTAAGACTGTATTTACAGTTATAGGAGTAAGGTACACATATATAAAGTACTTTTTCCAATCTAAATTTAAAACATTGTTTCGCAAATAAAATTTTTAGAAAACTCACAACTAATTCCGATACTATATTTTTTTTTCAATAATATTTATTTTAGTAAATTAAATAATTACATCCCGATTAATCCCTTATCAAATCAAAAAACGCCCAAAGTGATATTAATTCAAATTTATATTGCAAGTACTAAATGTGGGTCGATTCATTTCACTTCTGTAACATACTGTTTAGCAAACTGAGCTAAAGAAAGTCACTCGTTGATCCTCAGGACAGTAGGGGCATGATTTTTGGAATTAGCAATGAATTTTCCTGTGTTAGTTAACATTTTCTTTTCAAATTATATGATCAACCTTGTATATATTAATAGTATTTTAGAGGCTGGATTACTTCTGAAAAAAAAAAAAAACGTCAAAAAGCGAATAGAAATAAATCTCTTATAAAAGTGCATTTCAATTCAAAAATCACTCAAAACATGCAAGAATTTACAGAAATATTGATGAAAAGTTCATGAGTCCTATCAGATCTGGTCGTAAGTTTTGAGCAATATACAAACCAGAGTTTTTTGTAACAGTCTTTGAAAGTTTCGATACAAATTCAGTATAAGCAGTTAATATAAAGTGTAACTTCCAGTTACCTCTTGAATAAATCTATGATATGATAGGAAATGAATAGACCAGGCTACCAGAGAGAAACAAGCTGATAAGTATCTTAAGAGAAAATTAGATCATAAAATCCACAATGCAGTATATATGTAAATTCCCATTTGCCTCAAAACCAAAATACAAAACCCAACCAATGGTTTGATGTAGTTACAGTACTGTTTAGGAATAATTTAGGATATGAGAGGACCAAAGTTAGACAATATGACAGAAATTGAGAAAATATAGTCCATAATATGTTCAATATCTAAAATGATGAAGTGTCTCATACCTGATTCCAGTTCTGGGAATACTGTCCGTAATAGTTCCAGTTACTACCGTAACTGCCATGACCATGCTGATTATTTCCGCCACCACTGCCGGAGCTGTACTTCCACTGGTTGCCTCCACCGCTACCCCAGTTTGGGTTGCTATAACCACTCCTGCCTCCATATGATGATTGTTGGTTGTAACCTTGCCCACCCCATCCACCAGACCAACTCTGTCCTCGGCCTTGGCCACGACCTCCTCCTTGTCCATGTACGGGACCATGGTCCCGACTCCTACTGCTGTTGTGATCCCTGGTATAGCCGCCTTGGTTGTAATTACCTCTAGCGCCATGGTAATCTCGCGAGCCACCTACATATTCCATAAAAGACTTTAGAGTGAAATCATCAATGAGGAACCTTGTGTGTTCTTAGAATAAAACTGCAATATCGGATTCGGTCATGTAATTTTATCTTAAATAATTAGTTCTGAATAAAAGTCTGCGATGGCATATATCTACCTCTTATGTGGTAGCTACTAATGCAAAATACTTAGCCATAAATATAATTAAATTGGATACTTTTTTACAATGCACATATAAAAATTGATACAATTGTTGTTGTATTTAATATAGATGAACTATGTCTTTTACACTAAGTAATTTGGACAAATTGTTTAAAAGTTATCATGGTAAGATTAACTTTATGCAACGCAGTAAGCGGGCGGTCTAAAATGAAGCGCCATCCCCGAGAATGCGGCAGACGCGTGAGGGCAGACGTCGTTGACGGTTGTGTTAGTTTTGCAAAATTTCTTTATAGATAACATAATTCGATTCTCGAAGCTCTCTCTTTATTACTTGGTGCAGTTGGCATATTTTTTTTAGTTACTGTCATGAAACTTAATATGACAAACCAAATTCTACGCGGGAGAAGTCGCGGGAAACAACTAGATATACATAGTATGAAATTGCTTGTTGAGGTTAATAATTTTGATGCAAAATGAATACGGGGTTTGATTCTCTGGGTTCACCCTTGAAACAAATTCCATATCCGAGTTGGAATTCAATTAACGCAAAACTGATGACTCTTGATGCAGATATAGTCAATTCCTTCAATACAACTCTTATAGCAAAATATCCTGCTAAGAGTTTCTTGCATAAATTTGAAATGTTGTCGAGAATCATTGAACACAAATTAACTGTACCATTTGAGCTACCAAGAAGACCAACGGTTAGAATTATTTACATTTTTTGCAACAAGGTTTACTCAAAAATGTATTTCTAGCAACACGCTGACATATGTGACTGCAACACGACGGAGCTGCTCTCTACTCTGATAAAATTGTAAGCCATCACCTAGATAATAATTTCAATAATTAATGGATTGGGAGGGGAGGAAATATCTAATGGCCACCACGCTTTCCTGACCTCAACACCATACACTTCTTCTTATGAGGTTATTTCAAAGAACTTGTTTTCATAACCGAATGTCAGAGTGAAGTAGAGCTTCGTCGAAAAATTACGCATGCGACCAACATTTTTATCTATGATGAAAAGTCTTGCGGCGCATGAAAAGGAATAATATTCATCGTTGTCGAATGTCTATTAGAGCAGGTGCTAGATATTTTGATTACTTATTGTGATATTAAGCACCAATAAAATTTCTCTTGTACCATTTTGTCTTCTTTGTAAGGCAAGTTCCTTACTGTTGTCCAAAAAGGAATGGATTGACAATTTTGCAGTTCTTAATGTTATCATTTGTTGTATTATTCTCAGTATGTTTTTTTATGTGCTCATTAATACAGTTATTATTATACTAACCTCTCCATTCTCGAGCAGGTGGACCTCGAGTATCCTGCCTTTCTCTGTTCCAACCACCGCCTCTAGGCCTTGGTGCCACCCACCTCCCTCTAGGTTCGTATCTCTGACTATGGAAGCTGCTCCTATCTCGGTAATTTCTACTGCGATAATCGTTTCCTGAAATAAGTACATATAGATCAATCTTATACGACTAATCTGCGAAACTCACGTCTATGCTGCCATCTATCATCTTTGAACTTTTTCTCTGTTCCGTATCCTGCTTCCTTACCCTTTTCGTTATACTTCTTTACGATTTCTTTAGCTTCGGATTCATCGACACCCGCATAAATCACCTCATCAATCCAATCTCCCTTGTCCGGTAAAATCATAGCAGCTATAATCCAAAAAAATTGTTCAACAATAATTCCCATTTTTGTTAGCATAAATTTGCCCTGACGGCACACATATTTCAGAAATACATTCTACATATTCAAAATCATATTTGATATCGAGGATAGATTTTTATTAAAATATTAATTCGTAACAACATACATATAGAAACGTAACATTTGTTTTTTTATTATAGATTTTGTATAATTTATAATTCTTGATCCATGGTATCTTTATCAACCTCAAATGCCTTCAATTGTTAGAAAAGTTCGTGAATGAATGAGTAGGTGCAAAAGTATTGTAAAATTTTGGTTTTACATTGGTATAATACTATGATGACCCAGTATCAAACGCATGTGAGATTTTTATCAAGTTTTGATGAGCTGCAGAATCTTTAAGGCAAAAAATAATTCAAATAAAGTTTCTAGTTGACCATTATTTCAGTAGACATTATTTTGCACCTGGAAAAAAAGGAGGTCAATGGCATTCGAAATATAACCCTCAATACATTTCTTATTAAATTGATGGATGTAGCCGTCACTACATGGTAGGAAATCATAATGAAGAAAAGAGAACTTTTACCACTTTTATAAAAGTGGTAAAAAACAGAAAGTTTCAATTCCCTTTCCTTCATTAACATTTCTTATTAATAAAATGCAAACCAATTCTATCAATTAGCAGCAGTTTATTGCTAGAAATCACAAGCATTAAAAGGCAGATTATTCATCTTGTTCGACCTTCTCAAACCTCTATTTTCAAGGAGGGTCTGGATATTTTATGACACATTTCAATAATTTTACTGATGCATGATAACATTCAAATATATTTTTTTCAAATGGTCTCCACTATTATCAAATTTTATTGAAACAGTTATTGATTATTTTTTAGAATCACGTTCAATCGGCCGGTTTTCTTATAAAAGAGTGCTCGTGTACAAGTAATGATTAATTCTAGTTCCAATGGTAATAGAAAAATGGAATGTAATTGATTCTCTAAGGTAAGAATGCTGACAAAAGTTTTAGTCTATTTCCTTTCTTCATACGATGGTACTTTTCTCTTTGAAAATAAAGCTCAGTGAATTTCCTCGATATGAAATATGAGATTGAATTTGGGATGTGTGCTATCTAGGCATTAATTGAAGATATATTCCATAAGGGATTTGATATATTATCATAAGCTTCCTGCTCAAAGATTATTCTGGAACAATTAAAATAAGTGATATTTTTGTCCTGCGTCTCCCAATTAAGTTTTCATACTAGTGTTGAAGGACCACCAAAAGAAGTAAAAACAGTCTATGAAAATATATGTCACTTTACAGAAAATGAAACAATCGGTTAAAAATATATCTGTTTCAATATCAAATTGTGGGTTTTTCAAAATATATTAATGGTCTAGATAAGTGATATTGAGTTTCGTAGTTTTAACTTGGAAAATATTTATTTAAAAATGAATTCTACTGAATTTCTGTGAAGTCTTAGAACTTTACTGATAAAAACTACATATTGTCAAAGTGCTTAGTTGATACATCCATACCTCTGCAAGTTTTTGGGATTTTCAAACCATCGACTTCAGAACTGACAATGTCCTTGAATTTGTTATTTGGATGATTGTTAGATAGTTGGTGATTTTCTTATAATTCAATGTTTATATAAAAGTAGTTGTTTCTTTGAGTATTTTTCCTTCAATGTAATTCAATGTTTATATGGAAATAGTTGATTCGAGAGAGTTTTTTCTTCCAGTTTTGCGTCTGAAAGTAACGTCTATGCATGTTCTACAGTTCTTTGTAGTTTATTTTGAAATTAATTGCTTTCTTTCTTCCCCCTTTTTTGTAGGAAGATGGAGAATTAGAAAGCCAAAACCTTTCCCATAAAAATGTAAATTTTACAATGCAGAGTTTTCACAATGAGAATATGATAATATATACAATTCAAGCATCAATCTTATCGTCTAAATATGATTGTAAATATTCTTCTAGATCTAGAGTATAGAAGCAATGTTTGACAAGGTATTGCTTCATCACTCTGTTCAAGTTGTTGAAACTGAGTTTTATTTTACTTTCAATTCCAGAAATATTATAATTCAAAGAATTTCTCTGTGAAAGGGTTAGTCGAGATCAAAGAATTTTATTCGCGTGGCATACCTGGTGTTGTATTTAAGTGTATCACTGTGATGAATCTCAAGAGTTAATGATCGCTTCTTCGGTAGATAGAAAAGGCATAATGTCGAGATCAACAAAAATGGGTTTATTATGTTGCTGTTTAATATTATTAATAATTTTTATTAGGAACATCAAAAAATGACAGAGATGAATGTCAAATAAGCACTGCATAATAATAAAAAAAATTAAAAATAACTCCAAAAATTTTACTGAGAAGAAAACTCATCAGGTGTATTTGACCAGTAGAATATTACATTTTAAAAATTGTTCAAATTTTTTTAGGGGATGATCCCAGAACCGTCTTATATTTAATTCTATTTAATCAATATGTTGCTTCATATATTTTTTGACATATCCTTATTGGAGAAATTTTTACGACCAATTAATATGGTGGTAAAACGTAGAAAAATAAATATTAATTTTGAAAACCTAGTCTCTAACAAATGTCTAACAAAATAATAAAAGTTTTAAATAGAAATATGTTATCTAGTCAACACAAATATACCTTTCATTTCAAGAATTGTACTATCAGGAACCTCTTTACCCTCCGTAGCTTCTTGCAAAGATTGACGTCTAGCGTGTTCTTCATCTCCAACTACAATTACCACCGCCTTTCTCTTGAAGCCCTCAAATGGCCGCATTTTACGGCGTTGGGCTGATGGAAATACGTTTGTCTGCCACAAGCCTCATTATTATAATAACGTCCTCAAACGTTTCATTTCATAATCAAATTCAAAAGAATAGTCAAGCCAGCGAAATATTTCATTTTGTTAAAAAAAAAAAAGCATAATTCTGCAAAATTAGGAATATCTGGTTGCAAGAAAAAATACAGCTTGCGGTTGACAGAAAATATATCAAAACTGAGATAGACATGTACATATAATATATAGAGTATGGGACTACTTTACCATGAGGCGTATCATGTGAGTCGCTGTCTGCCAATAATATTAGGCTGCGTCATTGTTACGTAGAAAGCAGGAATTGTAGTAACAAAATCATATGTCAAATAGTTTTTGAAAGATATGCCATGAAGTCGTTATCATGACTACTTCCATCAGTTCATAAAAATATAGTTTCTTCGGCCTTCATCTTGTAATTGCGTTCATCCTCCTATTAAAGTGCATAGCATGCAATTGAATGTAGAATAGCTGCTGTCCTGCCCTTGTCGATACCATCGTGTTATAAACTACAACTTCAATAATCGATTAAATAATCAGCATTCTGTCAACCACACTCCGTAATTCATTTTGCTTTTTGTATTTAGAATTGATGTAGAAATGCATTCAGAATTATGTTCTAGGACAAGAGAACTTACATGAGGTTTCACAAACTTGAGTAATAAATTGTTCATGTCAGAGATTAGATTCAACTTGAAAAATATATCGAGTAGATAAATATTTAATTATCTTTTGAATGTTATGATGCATAATACATTTGTACATGAAAATACTATATATATATTGTGAAACACAATATTAATATGGTGCATTCTTTAAATTCATCCCCAGAAATTTTGTAGCTTTTACGAGTTGAATAAAAAAATTTGATGTTCATATACGTGAATTATTCTAGTTCAAGTATTTTTTTTATATAATCCTATCCAGTTATGAATTGCATGTTAAAAGGTAGGACCTCATTGATCTTTAGTACACACAAGTTTCAACATATATGATGCAATTTCCAGCTTCCTTCACAAAAGTTATTAAACATGAGTCAAATCATATTATTTTCAACTTCTATACAGTACTTGAATATTTTCACATAATCACACTGTTCTCAAACTTGTAGAATTGTAGAATTCTTGCAAAGATTACTTGCAAGAATTCTACAATTAAACAAGTCCTGATTTTGAGACATCATTCATTCAAATCTAGTTTCTGAAGTATTATATTTTTAAAACGTTTCAAAAATAAATGATAACAATATCCAACCATCTCTCAAATTTTGAAAGACTTGCATGTATCTTAAAGTACAATTCTAGGGTTAGAAATATGGCAACTGGGTTGATGCGACATTATTTTTTGTATATCTGTCACATAAACTAACAAGACCTCAGTAAAACAGATCAAATAGTGGAAATTTCTACATAATTATATGAAATCAACACTGACTTCTAATATTTTTTGTTAGGTGCATCTAAGGCTAACAGGAAATAAAGTTAAATTTGATAGATTTTTTCAAAAGTGCATACTTAAAATCCGCCTGATACCTAAAGAGAAATTATATATTAATTATATATTTTTTTTTTTATTAAAAATATAACAACAGAGTACAGTTCAACACAGTTAAGACACTATAAATATAAAATATGTTGTTATTCTCTCTAATCAGAAAAAATGCTGGTATCGGGATTCACAAACATTCAACATGACAAGTGAAACAAGAAAACCCCTACAAAGCTCGTAGTAACGTATCAGACATGTGCTTTCAGACTCAGCTGTTCTTTTAAAATATTGATGAATAAACTATTATAGCCCACGTATATAAACAGGAAAATAAATATTTCTAAATAAAATCTACTTACACCGTAGGTTATGGTAAATGCCTTATAACGATTCATTTATGATAAATTGGGACAATATGTATATAAATTAAGATAATTCAATTGAGATGGCGTGCAAGTAGACATACAAGAATTGAAGTAACGGTGCGAGGCCAGAGTGAACGAACAATGAGCAGAGAAAGAGTTGGTGCAGTTTAATAAACTATATTTTGTGTACCTGTTCAACTTCAAAGTAAGTTATTCAGTATATTACATTTGCGATAGATTTGCAGAAAGATGTTTTCGTTATAGGCCGAAAAGAGTAAAAAAAAGAGGAAGAATCAGATTGAAATGATTATATCCAGTTGACTTTCAATTCAATAATTCAAATTCATCCGGAAAACTTGGTTTCCATCTATCTCATGATCATTCACTGCCTACTATGCCATTGTCTGATTGTCTACTGTAGAGCTGATGGCCATTATATAAGTTATTCAACGAGAGGTACACCACCAACTAGAGTGGTTACGGAGGACCATTTTCTCAAATAATTTCAGGCTGTTTGTGTCAGCAATTTTAGGAAGACTCGTGGAATTTTCCCCTTCAGGATATACTAGTATGTGGAAATCTTCTTCTAGAGACCGAGTGAGTACCTACATCTCTTCTTCAATGCTACGTGGAATATTGAAAATAATAAAGATATTGTGCGTTTTATTTATTATAGTTATATAGAATATTTATTGATTGTTTAAACTTGTGAATGCTTTCCTTGTAAAAATGTTCATTTTTACCGATTTGGGATTTAATCGACAGCTGTTGATTGAACATTACCTACTGACCAAAAGCACCAAGTTACAATTACATTGAAAGTATAATTTTTCATAGACATTTTCATATTATATATTCCTGTTTGTTGGCCTTCACTGAAAACCAATCTCAGTGTTTCATGTTTAACTAGTTTTTTGTTCGTTGTTTCAATATAATTTATGCTACATTTGGGAGGGTAGCAAATCGCGTTGCAAACTTTCATGGTTGCGTGGAAGAGCGCTATTCTATCTTTCTCAGAAGATAGAAGAGCGAACGATGCCATTTGCTACATAACATCAATCAACCTTGTTCTTTGTAACTGCTCTTTGTGTAGCAATAAAAACATTTATTATTATTATTATTATTTAGTGAGTTATTATTATATATTCATATGTCTGCATTTATTTTGTTTGATTTCCTATTCCTATATAAGTATATTTATTGGCTAGCACTATATCAGCTCACATAACTATAGAACATCTTAATTTTTCAATCAGATCTCAAGAACATGAATCCATGCCTTGATTGTGACGTTGACAATATTTTTTTATCACTTTTCGTTTTTTAAAGTATTCCATAGCCTACCAGAAAATAATTACTTTTATTTTGAGTAATTCATTTTCTAGTACGTATCTTTCCTCGATAGTCTTCAGGCACAATATATATTCTAAGTTGAACATGTACATGTATACAAAACTGACATTCATATATTTAAAAATTCATCTGTGATATATTCACTCAATGTTTTTTTAAAGTCTGCTATATTCTCTATATAACTGAACAAATCAAAGAATTTGTAAGAAAACTGATAAGTGTTTGAGTTTTGTTATGTTGCAAGTCTGGAAAGGACTGTTGAAGCTTATACCACTATGAGTCATGAATGGCGTTTCTCTCCACCATGGTCATGTCATCAGCTATTAAATTTACTATCAGAACATAAATATAAAGGGATGGTAATGTTGACTGAAAATACGTCTTCTTGATACATGGTTATATAGTCCAATCAAAATTATTGATGTCATAATTGATGATGAAAAATAAATAGACATCGAAAATAGCTTCACCAATTATCAGTTCCTAATGTTTGCCAGAGATCTGAAGCTGTTTAGACCTATAAAATCCATTGATGATCAGCAAAGATGATCTTGATAGATTATAGTTTTGGTATGTTACTAATAACCTATTTGCAAATGTGAACAAACACTATGCTATTTCGTTTTTGAAAGTCAGTAAAAATTTTAATACATCACATACATCGGAAATTATTTTTGATGAACAAATCAGGTTTGTTGATCATATTAATTTGATAAAATTTGCAATTGTTCTAGATTCTCTTTAGAATTATCATTTATTTTTAGTAATATCATATAATATTCATCAATACTGCAAATTGTTTCATTTGCAATTTCATCATATAAACTATGACAAGCCTACATCAATCGAAAGATCACTTAAATTATCAAATGATAAAGACATCTGCATATTTGGTATCTTCTATAACACTCGTTGAACTGGACTGGTTGGGTACAACTACCCAAATAGGTGCTTCGACAATACAATTTTCATAGTATTAAATTATATTTCAGATGCAAGTCCTGTAAAATGTTTCATTATAAACTAGCTACTTCCGTTTTAGTGTGTTGTAAGGGGACAATTTCGAAGTTATAATAGCAAGTTGGATTGTATAACTTCTACCTTTATATACAGATGTTATGATTGTTTGGTTGTAGTAAGAATATTATTGTTTTTGTGGTAGTAATTACATCGTTATTGTAGTGGGGTTTACCTCATAAATGCATAATTTTAATAATTATTCATGTATTTAGAGATGGTCACTAGTAAATTAATCGAATTAATCACATCTCGAAAACATTCAATGAAGTTAGATTTAGCACTGAGTATACCATATAAAAACCGATTCAGTTTCGCCCCTATACCTTTTTCAACTCTCCTGTGGAAAAATTGTTAATAAGCGGGTAGTTGAAAAAGCAAAAGTACTGATATGCTTTCCACATTACATCATCAGAGTGAAGAAAATGTTTTTTCAGTGGTTGCAGCCTCCTTTACATGACCTTTTTGATACTTCCCAGTAATATTTTCATCAAAATAGGGCATTCTTAGATGAATTGTAGAATACAAAAATGTTTAGACGTACAGGATGTTCCATTTGAAATTCCAAGGTTGGGATATCTTGTAAACCTTTTTTTTTACACTTCACCGTAATATTTTCAACAAAATAGGATATTCTCATATAAATTGCAGAGTTTTACATTTGAAATTTCAAAGTCGAGATGATTTCTTGTAAAATAATTTTTTTGATACTTCGCAGCGATATGTTCACCAAAATAGCAAGATCTCATGTGAAATAAATTGCCGAGTCCGACAATGTTTAAACATACAGGGTGTTAAACTTGGGATGATTTCTTGTAAAACTGAATATACTACAAAAATTTTCAATCTAATCAATCCAAATTGTGAAACCGTTGGAACCACCCAAGTTCCACATTGATACCAGAAGAGACAAAACAGTTATAGAGACAAGCCTGAAATATATATATTACCGGTATCATAAAATATATTTTAAGGAAAAGTTATGGTCTTGTGAGTACCTACTTAACAGCTACAAAGATCACATCTAGGACCATTACTATTCACTAATCAGTTTTTACCCTACAAATTTCTATCAAAATAGTTTTGTTTTCAATTTTGATTTGATTCACAATGCAACTATTGTATCAAGTTTATAAAAACCTCATATAACTCCAATCCGTTTTTCAAAACGAATAAATAGAAGATATTTGAATGAAATATTTCTGCTAACTTGACCCAAGAATCCCTTCATCATAATAGAAACCGGCAATCATGCCTGTGCTCCACAAATTATCAACTAACTGGGATCCATTTCTTATAAACTAAAGGCATACCTTGTTCGACAGCTAGGTAGATGATTTTTACTATAACATCAAATTGTCTGTATTCACTCGGGTGAAAACAAAATTAAGAAAGGGAACTTGAATTACCTGCCGGGAACAATTGTGCAAGGTTTTTACTGGTTTAATTATATTTTCTGAGAGTACATTACAACTTGTCTGATTATAACAAGCCATGAAACTTTTTCTGTGCCTTCATCCATATAAATTTCAATTCCATCACAAAGTACCAGTTACTTTTTTTTGGCTAAGTGAATCGAACCCTGTCTTTCCTTATGATATACTTACAGTTTTTCCAATGCTGTCACAACTATCGTGGAGGGAGTATACTTACATTTTGTGATGACGAAATAATAAAAATACGACTCGACGATCGATTAGTTGTTCGTTACAGGAGATGATTTTGTACGTACCTGGTCAATGATGTAGTTTCTTCTTCTGTGAGCGGCCAAAGCAACAAGCCTATTCAAGCATTTCTGCATCCTGTCCATCAGAAAACTCCACTTCCCAGTGTATTTTGACTTGAGTGGTTCACCGGAAACCTTCCATAAGAAATACATGAATAATATAATAAAATTATTAAATACTTATAAAAAAAAAATATAGAATTGTACAAGTTCTTTTCCGGGACGATAAAATAAATAAAACTAAATGAATATTTACACTCACAGTCATCTTTTCCAACATGTTGTTCTTTCCCAAGACACAGTATCTCTTGTCGGGATTGGAAGTGACATGCTCCGTCACCCAATGAGTTTTCCCAGCAGCCGGTAACCCGCACATCAACAACACCTGAAACGAATCCGGTTAACATAAAAACTTTTGATTATGGCAACTGATCTGAAATACCTCGCAGTCTCCTCTGCTTTCTGGTCTAGTCGGTCCGGCTACTTTCTCTTCAACTTTACCGAGACACTGGAAACCAGCGAGATCAGCAGGGACTGGGAACCAAGGTTCCTTTTTATCGTCAAGGTTCAATTCGAATGCGTAATTTCGAGACAGAACGTGCGGGAAAAATACCGGATTTTCAGGGAGATCTGACTTTAGGACAGTCATCGCTACCGGTTGGATTACTCCATTTACTGCATACCTTATTGTGACATTATCTCCGTCAATATCCTGAAAATTTTAAAACTTTCATTAGATTTCCACAGATAATTTCGATTAAAAAATGAATTTGATTTAACAAATTGCAGTAAACAACAACTTCAACCCAAAAATGATTCATCACATTCTTGACAAAAAAAATTTCAATTAGGCTATTGACCAAATTCATCATCACATTGAAAATAACCTACAGAACGCTCACATTTACAGGAATATCATCAGATAAACAACAGAAAACATCAACATAGCATATGAGACTGGTAACTCCTTGGGTAGACATATAAAGAACAGGTCAAACATGGACAAATATAACAAATCGGAGATCTACCAACTATCACAGGGATTGTGCCCAAAAGTATATATAGAAAGGACTTCAAAAAATATCAAAACGAGACTCACCACCTAGGGTTGCCACCTTTCAGAGAACAACCACGATTTCAACATAGATTAAGACATATTACATACAGAAAATAAAGGATAAAAATTAAACCTGCTAGAACCTCTGAAAATCAAGAAATACAGACATTAATTTTTTTTTGTCAAACAAGTTGGTCACTCACCATTATTCAACTTGTTGAAGAGGACAAAAATGTTAGTATAAACCTTAAAAACAAATCCTTAAATTATGAAGATAACGTAAAATTTCTTGGGGTCAACTTTGACAAAAGCTGACTTGGAGAGAGCACAGTTTGAATGGCTAAGCATATTGCAAGTTTAGCGATATGAGGTTATAATAATGCAAAAGTGGAATCATTCTTGAGATTTGTGTTCTTCACCCAAAAATATATTTCATATTGTAATGCAGAGAAACTCATATTCTTTTGAAGAACTGTTCAAAGATTTCAGCATTCTATCTCTGGATTCTTCATCTCAAAGATTAACGTGGGCCATTACAGAATATAAGAATTGAGCATAATTCTAGATTTGACAAGCTGTGTTTCAATATGTACACTTGGTATCAAAACAGGTTTCATTTTAAGTTCATCTAGTAAATTTTTTTTTACTGAAAAAAGTTCAATATAGCTTCTTAGTTACATCCATTGGAGAACTTAGTACTGTAATCTGTATTACATCAAACACATTAATCATCTTGGAACGGTGTAATATGAATTTTTAAAATATGTAGCTATCATCATTAGAAGTAGGTGAATTCAATTAAAATTGAGTTTTTATTTGTTTATTCAATTTTTGGATTGGTGTATCGCTGAGATGATAAATAAAACCAATGTTTGATGTGTTCCAGGAGAAAGTCACCTGATGTCATTTTATTATTTTTTAGCATAATGTCATTTTCGATACACCTTATGATGAAACAAATCGATTGTTGCTTCAGCATCTTCAACACTAGAAATTGCTTAAAATATCTTCAGGTCATATGCAGATAATAAGAAAGAAATATCATCAAAGATGGACTCAATGTCATTGATGAATAAATTATGGGCAAAAGGTAGCAACATAATATTTTTACTTAAATTTTTGATAGGAAATTTTGGATGCAAAACTTTACAAAAAAAAATTCAAGCTCATTCACCAAAACTTACCAGAAATGTGCCAACAACATCTCCAGCTCCAAATTTGATACCATAATCGACAAATTTCTTATCAGTCACAAATCTTCCTGACGATTCATAACCATAGGAAAATTTTTCTTCGCCCAGTTGCAAACTGCAGTTCAGTAAAGACCACCCTACTCTCAAAACATGCGAAGGAATAGGTTCCGAAATCTCAACTGGCTTATCGGCCAATTCTATCTTATCGTCTTTTTCTTTAACATCACTTTCAGCATTCTCTGATTTGACCTCGTCCGTTTCCATTTTCTCGTCAGCCTTAGCTTCTTGAGCCGGTTCTTCTTTCGATTCTTGAGCTGTTTCTTCTTTCGATTCTTGAGCCACTTCCTCTTTCGATTCTTGAGCCGTTTCTTCATTCGATTCGGTGTCTTCACATTTATCTGCTGAATTTCCTTCAGATTCAGTGCCGCCTTCCTTTTCTTTGGTTGCATCTACACTTTTTTTTTCTTCAGCTTTTTTTTCATTCGTTACCGCCGAAGTTTCTTCCATTTTTTCTTCCTTAGTATTGGATTCCACATTTTTCCCAGCCTTTTCTAGATCGGATGTTTTATTTCCTGCATTCTTTTTATTAGAATTTCTTTTGTTATGATTTTTCTTTTCTGGTTGCTTGGAAAAATCATCTTCCCATTTGATTTCTTCTGTTAATTTCAATTCGTAGAATACCTGGAAATTATTTATTCATGTATGAACTTACTGTCCCAATTGCAGTTGTCCATTGACAAATTCACAGAAAAATTGGACCGAAAATGTCATTTGACTCTAATTTATTTATTTATAATAGGACCAATCTTTGTCAAAACCTAATAACAATATGTTTGTTATTCTCGGGTTTTTTTCACAGTTGAAATTTCAATTTTAGACTGGATCATTTTATGGCAATAGTTTTTTCTCATGTATTGTGACAGGCATTTTAATTAAGGGAGATCAAATGATCATTTCAATGTAATAATTCAACCTATTTTTATAAAATTTTCATTGCATGGAACATTTTTTTTTTCTTAAATAAAATATGCAAATACCTTTCCTGTTTGAACACCGTAAGTGCCTCTGACTCCTGCCCAAGCATATCCAAAAACACCATCGGTCATCGGTTTTGCTGATAAAAATGTCTTGTCATCAATTTGGAGATGGAGATCAGAATCATCTGAAATATTTCAAAAGAAAAATAATAATAATAAGTGTTTTGAATACAAATATTACATTAATTTAACAATAATATGATTGATATTCAAATATTTGTTTCATGGTAGGTTTCTTCTTTAGATAATTTTTTTGTGTGTCAATTCGAATTTTTCAAAAATTTACAAACGTGTTATTGCGATTGAACATGAAACTAAAAAAAAAGAGAAAATCGGTGAAGCTACTCACACCAGCTCAGTTGGACAATGGAATTATCAATATCAGGTTCATTTTCCCTGACAGGAGATCTACTTCTTCTACGCTGTGACCGTTGAGGAGAATCTGAACTCCTTTTTCTTTTCTCTCCCTTCTGCTCAGATCCATTTGTTGATTTTGATTCCTTCATTTTGGCTTCCTCTTCACCTATTTCCATTTTCTCTGGAGGATTCTCCAGCTTCTGTGAAGTCTCATCACTAGCCTTTTATAAAAAATAAAATTGATTTGAAAATTAGTTTTTGATTATTGTATAAAAAACATCCACAAAAATAACAATCTTTACAAAATTACCTCTTTGTTATCTTTTTCCTTATCCACTTTTTCCAATGGAGAAACAGATTCAATCTTTGAAGATGTGGACTTGTCACCATCTTTAGTTTCAGACGTATCCGTTTCCATTTTTTCTTCAACATTCTCAGGGTTTTCTTCTGGCTTAATTTTTTCAGGAGATTTGAGTTTCTCCTGAGCTTTTTCCGGTGTTTTTATTTTTACCAGAGAGTTAGCTGTTTCCTCAACTTTTTCTATTTTATTTGCCGCAGCTGGTTTCGGCTTGACTTCTACAGATTTGGTATCAACTTTTGGTTTTTCAACCAGCTTCATATCCTTCTCAGGTGATTCTGTCTTAGCTCCACTCTTCTGCTCCCCAGAGGTCTTTTGAGAAGACTTTACTTCGGGCTTGGGTGTATCCAGTGTTTTTGTTTTCTCCAGAGTAACTTCTCTTTTGGGATCGTCCTTGTCGACATTTGTCTGTAATGAGGTAATATTAAAACATGCCAAATATAAGCTATGCAGAAGGTTACCTCAACTTTTTCGGAAGGTGCTTCATCATTTTTCTTAGGCGACTCCTCGATCTGAGAAGTATCCAAATCTTCAGTGGATGTATCTGCTATAGATGTATCAGGCAAATCTGCAAATCAGATTCACGATCAATATATAAGACCAATGAAACTTTTTTATAAAAAAAGTGCGAGCTCTGTATCCAAATAATTACAGAAAATGGATATTTTTTATACGTTCACAATTGTTAATTATGATACTTAAAAATTAAAATGGTTATGCTGCAATTTTCCAACATGGAAAATATAAAGCAAGTTTTTGTATAATTTATGAAAATAATAATGATTGTGCAAGATGTACTACATATTAACAAATGTTTTGGTAGTAATGAGAAGTTACCAGGGAATTAATAGGAGAAAATGGATATCTAACATAGCCTAGTGTTGAGACAAATTCGTCAAAAATGCATTGAAATTTTCGAATTTACAGGTGAATTTTTTTGCCGAATATTTTACAGACCTCTAGTATAATAAAAGTTTAACAGTAAAAATGAAAAATTCTAATATAAAACTATTTAGCAAAAGTTTGACTTTACAATATGAAAAAACTTTCAAGATATATCTACATAGACATTTTTTATTTACATACATATATACCGAGGAAAACTGAGAAGAGGTTCCAAGAATGGTGATTCTAAAATGGAGGGAAAATTCTAAATAAACTGTCCATCATAAAATCCTGCTATAACTAACAAAGTGCAATCGTATAAAAACGAATTTACTACTTATGAATAGTAGCTAACATTATTCATTACCTTTGTCGAATTCTTTCTCCAAAGCAGTTTTTAAACGTTTCACTAAAACCGCTTTATTTCCTTTGGTGTCCAAACCGCGAGAGGAAAGTTCATTGCGTAAATCTATGACTTTCAACTTGGCAGGATCTATATTGGAGCTCATTTTTCACTATACTGAAACACTATAATGAAATTCAAACTAACACAAAACATACAAAAACCTTTCGTAATCTCTCAAGTAAAACACGCGCAACTTTTGCAAATGGCGGAGCGTCACGTCTAAGTGTTGACAGATGACAGGACCTAATGAAGGTGTGTTCCAAAAATAAACATATATCAATCCAGACAGAAAAAGTGACATATCTCAAGGGCTCTGAAACAAAAAACTTTCGACAGTAGTTCGACTGTTGATGCTTCAACATTTAAAATATCACACTTTTCAAAGAATTATTTTCAAAACGTGTTAGCAGTGAAAAGTATGCCACGCATGCAACAAAATCCCATTGCTAGCATGCACATTTATATTTTTTTGCATAGGCAGTAAGAATCTCATTGCCATAAAGAGGCAAATCTCGAAATAAATACATCTGTATGTTATGTCGGTATCGGGTTCAAACAATGTTTTATAATAAACCTAAAAACATATAAAACTCTGTTTTATTATTCACCATAACACAATGCTCAAATGAACTATCATTGCCAAAGTAATATTGTCTATTGTTACTCTGAGGCCAAATCCAAAAACAGAAAAAGCTACGAACGAAAAAACATTGACATTTGTCAGCAGCAAAGGCGCAAATGCGCTCACCGCGTTTCCAATGTTGCCAACATAACACTGTGAAAATGGATTTAAATGAAATTTTGATATACAAAGTGTTTCATAAATGAAAACAGAAATCAATTTTAAATTCGATTTCATCAAATGATGAATTATTTTTTAGTCAAAAGTTGAAATATAATTATCAATTTTGCTCAAATTCTGTATTTCCAATTTTTTTATTTTGAGTTTGACTAATGTGAACTATTTCAAGAAATCTTATAATTTTGTTATATTCAACTGAAACCTGACGCTCCGAAATTGGATGATCTGCTGAACCACAAGATCTTCTACTTCTGTAGTTACTTTTATGTGAGGTAATTCATGAAGACAAGTTAGGAGAATTACTAGATAAAAATGGAATACAAAAATATCACATTAGATTTTTCTTTAGAAGTGGGGTAGTTTAAGTTTTAGAATAGAGGTAAGAAATAATTTTGCAACACTGTAGAAATTTTGATATTTTTTATGTCTCGGAAGATATTAAGAAATTTCGGTGTTGAGTTAGGAATATATTGAATTGAGAAATATTGTATGAATTCATTAATGCTAACTATTTTCGATTATCAAAAAGTAATTATTGCATTGAAAAAATATTTCTCTAGTTAGAGAGAACATTTGATTATCATTTTAATTTGGGATATTTGAGTAGGTATCAATTGAATTGTGTTGAATTGAATAAATATTCATTTGAAAGCTTTGGTAGATGAGAATTTTCTTAGACATAGCACTCAAAAAAGAAGCAAACCATAGACACGTGTTTTGGGCTTTTGGCCCATCATCAATATGGTGCAGCCATGTGCAAGGATAGGCACACGCAACAATCAGCAGATTTCAGTTAATAGATCTTATGCAGCTTTAACTACCTGCGTAGCAAAACCGCAGATACGTGTATTTGGCTATTCACCACGGTGCGCGGTGGTTAACACGACTTGTGTATCAAAAACTAGATAAATATGTACGAAGTGACCAACAGGAACATAACGTTCGCCCGTGGTTTCAATTAGTCAACCTATCATTCATAGGAAACAACTAAACGAACATGTGAGCAGTGATATGTGGATCCGAAATATATATACTGAAAATTATTAACGAGTGTATTTAATCGAAATAAAAAATAGGACATATCACTCAGAAATGGGGGCAAAACCGCGGACACATGTTTTTTACTATCGATATCTACGATTTCTCCTATTTTGTATCAACTAATATTAAAAATGTAAAATAGGTATAGTAACAGTATTGTTTCTCACAAATACTTGTCTAACAACTATAGGCGAATAATTATAAAATCTGATGGTTGTATAGTACGATACTTCTTCTGTATTTTTCAGTCTGTTTAGAAAAGATGAAAAGATTATTGATGCTAAGTAAGGAGTTGACATTATTTGATAACACGATAAACACGGATATACGACCATGAAGCACTTTTTGGTAAATCAGTGAATTGATAGAACAGTCAATTGTCAAATAAATGTCAGATGTCTCCAGCTTACACTTTTCTGATATTTTCACACGTTAACAACGTCATCGTTATCGTATCGTCTGTATTAATTGGGTGTAATGTTTTTAGCAAAAGTTAACTAACACTTTTTTCAGTCAGGTTGTTTTTTAAACGTCTCCATTAGATATGGTACGCATAAAACAAAAAAGTTCATCGATATTTTATAATGTCCTTAACACTTTCCGTTTTAGGTGCTTATAGCTGCAGCAGTCTGCACAAAAGCAGGGAAAAGTGTGTAAAATTTAATAGCAATTTTGTATAATCTAATGACCAAATCATTTTCTAGCCATTGTGTCTCGACAGTTTGTTGAAATGACCAAATCGCGAATTGAAGGATTACTGGCTGCTTTTCCTAAACTCGTACCCACAGGAACCCAGCATACTTTCGTTGAGACGGACTCAGTTCGTTATGTCTATCAACCTCTTGAAAGGCTTTACATGTTACTTATAACAACAAGAGCTAGTAATATTTTGGAGGATCTAGAAACTTTACGCTTATTTGCCAGAGTTGTGAGTATTTGGTTTTACCTCTCATTGTTGTATATTGAAATAGTAGTTAAATTGGCAGTTCTCCATCATAATGCTTTGATAGGAATTGAAAGTTTGTTTTCCCGAAGAAATTTTCTAGAGAAACTCTTTATAGAAACAAGCACTGGTTTCATTAAGAAAACTGTTGCAGCCGTTAACTTTGTACATAGTTTTTTCAAATCATAAAATGTTGTTGAAATAAGGTGAAGTTATTGATGAATGAAAAATCTCTTTGGTTAATCAAGATTTGTATTCGAGACCTCCCAATTCAGATGCTTCTGTAAATTTCTTTTTTTTTTATTCTTCGTATCTGTAAGCAAATTCAAGACATTTATACCTCATTAAATTAATTTCTATATTCTTTCATTCAATTCCATTATTAATCAGGTCAATAACAACTTGGCATCTAATTGGGAAAAGCTTTATTCATCCTAACAATTGACTCTCCTACTGTTGAATATCCAGTTAAAACTTTCTGGAAATATCTTTAAATCTTTTTCGTTTTCCTTCTAATCATGTATCTGATAGTTTCTTCTTATATGATACAAACCCTGAGGAATTTATGTTAGTTATCAAAGACATCAAAAATAAGAATTGCAAGGGTATAGATGAAATTTGACAATGTCAACAACAACAAACAACCAATACTTGTGCAAAGCTGCTTCCAGGGATATGTGCAAGCCTCTTTTTAAAGCTGATGTATCTCAACAGTAGCTACCTTACATGGTTTTGAAACCTATCTGCCTAGTAAAGAAACATTATTCATCTTCTGTGACCTACATTTATTATAGTACCTGGAATCACAATGACCTGAACTGCCTATTCCTTCGAGCTCCTTATCTAGGTACTGGATTATATTTTTCGGTAAAGCTATTCCGTCACCTGCCATTCGGAATTAAAGAAATCAAGGTGTATAATAGATTCAAAAAAGAGGACAAAATGCTACTTGTTGATGAGGCTCTTTATACAGTACTATTCTGATCATTCCCATATTGATTTCAATTTAAGAGCCACCGGTAGACAGCTGTTTCAACCTGTTGGACATCGTCACTACTGGGTAGGCAGTCCTCCATCGAAGACAAAATGTTAATAACCAAGAAAAGTACTTAATAAAAATAACTGCATAAACGCAAGCGAGACATAAGTGGAACCACCTATTGGTGTGACACCCAAGTCAACTTGCCCAGATTTTATGTCAGTGTTGGTGGGTTGAACAATCAACCGACAACTGTGATTAGCAGAAATGGAATGCCATCAGAAAACTAATCTACATATTCCTGAAAATGATATGAAATCAAGAAAGGTTAATGTAGTCAAGCTGCTGGATAATAATTTCATGAAAGTCAAAAGATAAATAGATAAGTACTATTCTGATCATTCCCATATTGGGAATGTAAGGTAAGAATTAACGGGACTTCCAGTCAGACACGTTTAAAAACAAACTTACTCTGTTTCACAAATTGCCAAGCTTTTTTCTCTGAATAAAAATTTCGTCAGGATGCTAAAATGAAATACAATGGTATTTGGCTTTGTCTACAAGATTATGTCTTATGATAATAAAGCATATTATTATTATTAACTTTTATGTAATCTAAACATTAAAGATTCCAGAATATTGTCGATCACTAGAGGAAAGTGAAATAGCCGAGAATGCATTTTCACTCATTTTTGCATTTGATGAAATAGTAGCTCTAGGCTATCGAGAAAGTGTGAATTTATCTCAGATCCGTACATTCGTCGAGATGGATTCACATGAAGAGAAGGTTTATCAAGCAGTAAGACAGGTTAGTAAAATTTACTTATTTAAAAAAAGACTGCTGTTGGTGAATTGACAAAATTCATTCAGACTCAAGAACGAGAAGCCAAAATCAAAATGAGAGAAAAGGCAAAAGAATTGCAGAGGCAGAGAATGGAAGCTAAAAAAGGTACCAAATCATCATCTACTAACAGCGGAGGTTTTGGCAATTCAGGAAGCTATACACCTACGCCATTCGTCGTCGATGCTTCCAATGTTTCTAATGATGTGAAACCACCTTCATACGCAGCTCCTATTCAGTAAGAATTGACCTAAACATACTTCTTCCTTTTCAATTAAACTAATAAATGTGTAATTAACTTGCTGAATTTCCAGAAAACCAAAAGGTATGAAGTTAGGTGGAAAAGGCCGTGATGTGGAATCTTTCGTAGATCAGCTGAAATCTGAAGGTGAGAATGTCATCATTCCAGCCAAGAACAGTATTTCTCAACCAGGATCCAAAGCTCCAGCCATCAAAACCGACATTGATGAGTAAGTTTTCTGCTTCAAAATAAAAACCTAATGACCTATTTCTATTTTTGAAGCGTTCACTTGAGATTAGAAGAAAAATTAGTAGTTAGGTTGGGCCGTGATGGAGGGGTTCAACAGTTTGAAGTGTTAGGACTTGCAACTTTACATATTGGCGATGAGAGGTGGGGAAGAATTCGTGTGCATCTTGAAAATCAGAATTCTCATGGAGTTCAGCTTCAAACACATCCCAATGTGGATAAGGAACTCTTCAAATTACGTTCTCAGGTAGGAATTCACTGTCACAGTCAATGATGGCATCTGCCAATTTCATCCACAGTATTCTAGTGTTAACAACAAAGAAGGAACTTGTAATGATTTGAACTGATATATGATTATTGTCCAGTACAAACAATTTGACACGTAATTTTTAAATAGATTCAATATGGATGTGTTTCCATATCTTTTGGTTTGCCCTAGACTTATTTCAATAATCTTACATCAGTTAATGTAATATTAATCTACTTTTATTTTCATATCACAATTTTTATGTGTCTTCTGTTAACAAACCTTCAGGACAATTCCTATACAATTTTTCATGGTCTGAAGAAATATAAAGATTATTATTGCTCTGGATACATTGTCCTGTGATACTGGAAGCAACTTTTTTTATTGACTGTTTTATGTATCCAACTTTCTTTTGGGATCGTCTCAAACTTCTTTCGATGTATCATGAAATGCATTCAGATGAACTCTCAAAATTGTTCACAACGGAAAATAATGAGATATAAAAATGTTTTTTTCATAACTTGTTAAATTTCCCTTCAATCAAGAAATTTATAAGATTTATGAAAATGATATTCATTATTTCAAAAAAGACACTCGAGTCAAGGACCATTATAACACAATTAATGAATCGATTTCCTTTAAATGATGACAATTTACAGACATAGTAATAGTAAAATTATAACAAGATCGGGTTTAACAGTTTAAGGAACATACCAATTTCATTTCCCTGAAGCTGATCAAATTTAAATATTATTTGAAAAGGGTTCCTTTGCAGTATATCAGTGAAATTCAGTTTCTGAGTCGTATCATAGATGAAGAATTGTATTGGTATAAATATAATGAATATATTCGAAAAAAAAAAATGTGAGGGGCATGTGGTTATCCTTCAAAGATTAAGCTATTTAATATGATAGTTCGTACTGGAACCCCTGGCTTAAAATTAATCTATTGAAAACACTTTCTACTACAGCAGCTCCTTTGATTCACTGGAAATTATAATAACAGTATGTGTTTGGAATGTGGTAACTAGCAACTCATATTGTTTTGGTAGAAGCACCCAACATCTATTGAAAACACTTTCCCAATACCACTCCCTCAAGATGTGCAGTAGATGTGTAGAAATCTGTTATCAGTCTGTTAGATTATTCGAGCCCTAAACATTCAAATTCTGGACCTTATTTAGTTAGTGATGGAGTTTAAAAGTGAATTGCAAAAACATATTTCAAATAGTAAAATACGTGAAGTTGTTTCTGAGGGCTTCTCACTGGCGGTGACTCAGTCCGGCAGCTGTATTTCCTCTTTGTTAGTGATTATCTGTTTTATTTAGAATTATTACTTATAAGACCAAACAAAGGGCTGTTCGGAATAGGACCTTTGTCGCTATTCATATAACTCATTCCGCACTTTTGATTTCCGAGCTTTCGAAGGCATCCAGAAACCTGTTGTCATGTATCGATCCAAACAATCTTAAACATTTCTCACTTGTTCTATGGTCGTTCTCTATGGCATGTATTCACTTATTACTTATATGTATCCTTTATATTATTCTCGCCATGTATCTCTGTATTTTCTTTTTTATATAACCTATAATTCTGTTTATCTTAGTGCTTTTACTCATTTTCACGTGCTTGACTTAACTTCGAATCTCACTTTTACATTTTTAGTCTTTACTTCAATTTTTAAATTGTATACGAATATTTTTGATGCTTGTATTATGAATGGGGTAATCCCATGCAATATATAACCGCATTTGCAAACCTTCTCTTGAAAGAGGGGCATTAGTTCAACCTGATGAAGTATTACATTTCGTAGAGAAAGGTTCGAAACTCAATCTTTTGGAATGCTTAGAAATTGATAGATTGAGGAATTCCAAAAATTTACTAAATTACCAAACAGAATTTAATTCTTCCCCTCTTCAGAATCTATTTTCTTATGTGGAAATTGGTCATTACATAAGTAGAAGGTCACATCATTCAGATTGTTATTAAAAAAACTAATAAATAGAGTTTATTCTATGATTTTCACTATAAGGGTTTGACAAAAACCGCGACACGTGGTTCGCTATACAATAGCTTCTTCAAGCATAACTCTAGAATAATCATGGAATAAACTCTATTTATTAGTTTTTTTAATATGGATTTTCATCAAGTATCGGCCAGTTCTATTCAATCAAATTGTTATTGTATAAAGCACAAATTAGGGAGAATTTACTCAGTATGAAAATACTTGAATTGTATAGGAAAACACGTGTTGTGGGTTTGTAAATTTTCTGTGAAAATATCACGAAGTGTTACTTTGTGAAACAAGTATTAGCCAATTCCATCAAATATAGTATCACCTTTTCACTAGTTCGGACTTCCATTGTCTACTATATAAAATGATTTGAAATCCCTGAAACAAGTAAAAAAGAATAATTAAAAAAATAGTTGAAAATAACAATTATATTAAGCAACAATAAACCTGAAATGAAATGATAGTGAAATAACCTACAAGTAAAAATATAATAATTGAATAAATAAAAATTAAAGGAATGAAAAAAGAAAATAATGAAAAAAAATAAAAAAATGTAGAGATTCCAAGTCACGTTAGTTCACGACGTTTCGATTGTTGGTATCTACAATCGTCTTCGGGTGATGACTGGACTGATTCCTCCGAGAGATGACTATTTTATAGGTCGTTGAAATACTTTCACTTTCTCTACTTTCCATTTTCCGCTTCACTGATTCTGTGAGAGATGACCGTTTTGGCGGGAGTTGGTCATTTTTCGTTTGATGATGGGTTTCCATATGTTGCGTATATCTACGCTGGCCTGGCTGAATACGTTGTTGGACAACATGTATGCGGCTTCCTTGAATTTTCAACTGATCCAATGTACCTCTCTGTGCAAGATCTCAGCTTGGGACCACTCGATGTTGTGTTGATGGGTCCAACCATGGTCTGCTATTCCTGATTTGCTGATTTCTCCTCGCTGTGTGTGCTTCTTGTGCTCGGCAATGCGAACATTCAATGGCCTCTTAGTTTCACCAATATAGGATTTTCCGCACTCACAGGGTATCCGGTAAATGCAATTCTTGGAATCGCAGTCCGCGTTTGGGGGCCTGGTTTTCGTGAGGCTGCTACGGATAGTGTTACCGGATCTGAAAAAGGTTCTAATGTTGTACTTGGAACCAATTCTTCTTATCCTCTCCGATAATCCTCTGATGTAGGGAAGTGCAAGCACTGGTTGTGACGGCTTCTCTTCCTTGCGAGGCTCCTGCTGTCTTTTAGCCAAAGTCTTTTCTACCATCGCTTTAGAGTATCTATTCCGCTGAAGATCATTTTTGATGATGTCTAGTTCCTTCTCGAGACCTTCCTTTGTATAACAGAGCCCAAAAGCACTGTCTAATAGAGTCTTGATGATTCCTCTTTTTGTCGATTGATGGTGGTTGGATTCGTGGTTCAGATACTGTCCCGTATGAGTGGGTTTTCGGTATACAGATGTTTCCCACTTAGTGTCGGTCCTCTTCACCAAAACGTCTAAGAATGGCAATTCATTGTGGATTTCCTTCTCCATTGTGAAAGTGATGGAAGGTCTCACGCTGTTGATGTGTTTCAGAAAAGCGTCTAGTTCAGTATTCCCATGGTTCCATATTATGAAGGTGTCGTCAACATATCTCAACCAGACTCGAGGTTTCTTGTGGGCTTCTTCAATGGCCAGAGTTTCAAACCACTCCATATATATGTTGGCTATGACTGGTGAAAGTGGCGATCCCATTGGCAGTCCCTCATCTTGTGTAAAGAATTCGTCCTTCAGTTGGAAATAACAGTTTCGTACACAGCATCCTAGTAATTCCATAATTACTTCTATAGGTAGATTCGTTCTCTCTTTCAGGTTCCCGTCTTCGGATAGCTTTCTCTGTATGATTTGGAGTGCTTCTTCGACCGGAACGTTGGTGTAGATACCAACAATCGAAACGTCGTGAACTAACGTGACTTGGAATCTCTACATTTTTTTATTTTTTTACTATTTTCTTTTTTCATTCCTTTAATTTTTATTTATTCAATTATTATATTTTTACTTGAAAGGTTATTTCACTATCATTTCATTTCAGGTTTATTGTTGCTGAATATAATTTTTATATTCAACTATTCTTTTTTAATTATTCCTTTTTACTTGTTTCAGGGATTTCAAATCATTTTATATAGTAGACAATGGAAGTCTGAACTAGTGAAATTCATCACGAAACATTGTCAATCACCTTCAAACATAGTATCACCTATGAAAGACTGTATATTCTCATGAATTTTCTTTGATACATTTCCAGATAGGTTTGAAACAACCTTCAAAACCGTTTCCCCTTCATACAGACGTTGGTGTACTCAAATGGAGATTGCAAAGTACGGAAGAGACCCTGGTACCACTTCTCATAAATTGTTGGCCCTCAGAAGCCGGAGATGGAAGTTGTGATGTTAATATAGAATATGAACTTGCCCACAGTAATTTAGAACTTATCGACGTCAATATTACCATTCCGTTGCCGTAAGAATTTTGATGGTTTTGTTTTTGCACCAACTCGTAATCTTACTGTCTTTTCAGAATCGGTTGTTCCCCCGTAGTCGGGGAATGTGACGGCACATACTCGCACGAATCCAGAAGAAACCAACTTGTTTGGAATTTGCCTGTTGTCGACTTTAGCAACAAGAGCGGATCTTTAGAGTTTAGCGCTCCGAAAGCTATTCCTAATGATTTCTTTCCGCTTTCTGTGGCTTTCACGTCTAAATCTTCATACGCAAGTATCAAGGTGAGGAGAAATAACCTAATTGATCTGTTTGTGATGGTTTTAACTGTGATTTTGTTTCATTCCAGGTTACCGAAGTTACTCTCATAGATGACGATTCTCCTGTTAAATATTCGGTAGAAACTGTGTTGTATCCTGATAAATATGAAATAGTGTAACTGGTTCGGTAGTTTCACACTATTTTGTGTATAAAATGTTTAACAAATATTTTAATCAATTCTGCAATGTTTCCTTTTGTAAAAAAAAACATGAAATTTTGTCTTTATTGTTAAGAAAGATTAACTGACTTTATTTCAGTACAGTTTGTATTTTGTTTAAGAATACTGCTAGAAAAAATTGAATTCTTGATATTTTGGAAAATGTTAATAAACGAATTATTTGAAAAATTATATTTTATTAACATAATTTGCACAGATGGACATTTACTTTTATCTATATTAATATATAAGATATATTTTCTTGTATGGCTTTAGTGGGTTCTATCAATTTTTTCTAGCTTTAGAAATTTATAGTTTTTTAGATTATAAATATATATATACACTTTAGTTTCAATAAAATATAATTTTGTAATTATGTCGATTGTAAATTATTGGTGTCTTTATTTCAACAGTAATCTTCAATATAAATCCAGTGAACAAAAACAACTTTGCACATTTCGTTTGATTTACAAATAGAGTTTTCTTGGTGATAATTTTGCATTAAAACTTTCCAAAATTTGAATAAAATTTATTAGAAAAAGATAATGGGTAGTGAACCAAAGTGTTTTATAATTTGCTAAAATATTTTCGTTATATTTCTTTACAAAATTTTGAAATAGTGACTGATGTGAAAAGAAAATAACTAGAGAGAATAGCTATTGCCCGACAAAAAAAAGTAATGTTTTCCTGAATTTTCGCCAACATACATGGTTTAGCTTCTTCAGAAATGCTTTCATTTCTGATGCTGGAAGTGGAAATCTAGGAAAATAAATAATGGTTGCAAAGTATAAAATAAACGACCTAAAGTTTATTGATTTACAAAAAATAATTTAGACAAACACAATCACACACAATACAAATTCTTCAACACAAAAATACTCAACTGGTGTACAGAGCTTCTTCGACAAATTGATTTTATTTCGCAGAAATAACTGACTTCCAGCAGAAGAAGTACCTAAATATACAGTTAACAATATATTTTATTTATTAACACGTTTACAGTATTTCGCTTAAACGAATTTGTACTTCACAAAAATCATAATCTTTAGACAGTCTTTTTTCTTTGGGAAATTTAGAATGTTTTCATAGGCCTTCAGAATGAAATACTCAATTTTCAGGAACATTCATACAACAGGAAATATTCAATAATAAACAACCGTTTTTAAATTGATCAAACAAGTACAGGGCATATGGAAAAATATTTTCTTTGTAATAGAGAAACTTATCTGGTTAAAATTTTCTTTTTAAATAATAAGATAATTTCAGAGAATCAATTAAATGAAGGTCTAAAAAATGTGTATATGGAAATGAGGAAGTCGAAAACCTTGAAAGGTCTCCCTGATAAGTGGCAGTAATAAGGTGTTTATGAAAAGCTGAATTTTCATAATGCAAGAGAATAATGAAAACTTTTTCAAAAATAAAGGAGCAAAGAAGTAGAATATCTCCAAAAGTGTGGGAAAATGGCAGACTTCCTAATAATAAACATATATCATAAGTCGTTATTGACAAATTTTTAATAATTTTATTTATCATGAAGTGAATATCATTTTCCTGTTTAACAGTATAAAAATATCACACAATAATATTATTCGCATAAAGGAGAAATGTAGAATTGAGGCTACCTTCTTCAAGTACATTTCATAATATTGCATAGAGAACTTTGATAGAGCTTTACCACAATTATTTTGTTCAAAAACACATGAAATATTTTGCATTCCTACTAACTGACAAATAATATCTATGCCCCAGATTTTGTATATTAATTTTCAGAAACACAAAGTTGTGCATCCCATTATTTTTTAATTTTGAAGATTTATTTGCTTGACTGCATTTCTGTAAATGAATAAAAAAAATATCTTGAGTTATTGGAAATGCTAGGAATATTTCGATGATACAGTTGACTCGCGATAGTCCGACACGCTCGGTTGTCTGACGCTGCGCCGTATGAGTCATCGGTCTAGTCTAGTTGGTCTTACCTTAACCTGTAAAACTGAATCATGTCTTATGATTTTAATATTAAAAAAATTCTCTTCTTTTGTAAAAACTAAAGCCTGACTTCAACACACATTTTGAATCTTTTCTAGTCAAATATTACCTACATAAAAATTCATCGTTAACTATATTTCCAAACTTATACACGGCAGTTTTAATTAAATAGAGCTAATCTTTGGTAATCCGACACCCCTGCAGTCCCATAGTGGCTGACTATTGCGAGTCAACGGTACTGTTGTTTATGTTTATAATCAGCTATATAAAACACAAATTCCTGGTGAATGCAATTTATATTAAATTGATGGATGAAACCGTGCAGTTTCGTCCTATAAAGACATTTTCAAACAAATACAATTCGTTTAAAAATGTCCTTATAGGACCAAAATGCAGTAACGTTAGTTACAGGACACAAGTGGTAAAAAAAATAGAAAGTTTCATTTCTCAATTTTCGCAATTTATGTTTCCACCATTAGAATTACATATTAAATCATAGTACCTTCACCTTTTTTCATTTTTGCTAAAATGAGACAAGAAAAAAGTCAATATATTTAAAACTCAATAAAATGTTCCCGAGACAAGTGAAGAATATAATAAACGCTTGGAAAGTTATTATAAAATTTTTTATAAAAAAAAGTATCATTTTGGAGAAATATTATGAAAGTATAATGTAAAATTGAATATGAGGAACACGTCATCCTACTAATATATTTAAATATTTAAAGGAAATTATGGATAAACAATAAAATAATTACGGAGAGCTTTTAACTAAATACAAATTCAAAACTACTATAGAAAAGCGCTAGTACCTAAGAACAAGATAATTATGATACAAGATTGAAAATGTCACTGTAGAATGCCCTAAATTATATAAGTCCATTTTTTTCTGAACCTGTTTAAAAAAAATATCTTGTCTTAACAGATCAGGGTTTATTATAATTTTTAACTGTATTGAATATAGACGGTAGATATTCACAAAGGAAATCTGAATCATTATTAAGAGTAGATCTACTGTGAAAAAAATACTATGAAGTAATTCCACTGTGTGAAACAACCTAAAAAATATTGTCATGATACTGTGCTTAATAAAAAATGGTTATCAAAATAAATTTCTGAACTTTTTCTGACAAATAACAAAAGAAAAATGAATTGCAGTTTGTTAAATTGAATTATTGTTTCATGAATGACGATTGTTTAGATTATAGACCAATTGACTTACTTGGCTTTTTAGGAAAAGAGCAATTTTTCCAAGAGGTGATCAAAATTATTAAATCTTCGTACTATTAATATTTCAATTCAAGTGAAATGGCATACCTAACAATATGCTGTGAAGTTCTATATAAATCCAACAATCGTGCTTATTTTATCACTGATTATATTCTTTGTGAAATTTAATTCTGACATGACAGGTACATTTGTATTTCATAGATATTCTGTTTTAGACACCTTTGATGAGGAAGACTCTTTCATCATTTGGAAAACAACATCCTGTGATGATAGCAATTCAAAATACCTTTTAAACAAGTTATCATAAGACTGCCCTTTCTATTAAAAAAAGAAGTTGGTAGCGCCCTCTCGGTGATAATTGATGCAACAGTATTGCCTTTCTATTGAAAAAGTACCAAATTATGTAAATTTAGTCCGATCCCAATATGAGATATCAAAAACCCTGTTAGCAAAGGTATAATTCACTATTGAAAATATCATACATTCATTGTTTATCACTTGAAATGACAAATTATATTATATGATTAATGAAAATCCGTTAGACATAAGCCAAAATAGATTATGCTTCATAATGAATCTGATTAATCTTGAAATACTTGCAAAGGGTAATGGGGAACACAACCATTTATGTCAAAATTATTAATATTATATTTAAACCCAATCAGCTTTTCATTCTTCATGTATCACAATCAAAATTAAGTAGATACCACCCTACGACCAGAAAATTTTTTGTCGAATAAGTTACCCAATCACAATGTCCTCCACGAAAAATTTCTCCCAATTTATCGCCGAAAAATACATTTAAGTTAAATTATATCGATGAGTTATGAAACTAGTTCCCGAAACTTGATAGTAAACACAATATTGAATAAAATTGCATAATCAATAATTATTATTGATAGTAGTAATGAACTAAAATTCTTTCACTCGATATATTCAATAGAAATATTGGCAATTTTAGTAAGGTGGTGTTGACGCTCCCGAACAAGTTGAATCTTGCCTGCAGGTAAGAGAGTGTTGCAAATCTATTGGCTGAAGCCACTCTTTAGGCAGACAACGTTCTAAAAATGGAACCCAGCTGCTGAAGTGTGCCAGTCGGTTCACCCATGAAGGTATGTCTTGTCCACATAAAATCTAAAGCGAAATGCAATGTTATTTACTTTTTAATTTGCTGATATGAAATAAGTTGTACATTATATGAAAGCTTCATCTAAAATATCAGAAACAGATAGATTTTGCTTTTCAAGATCAGGTGAATATTATTTTTTTATGAACTAAAAATGTGTCGAGTATAATTTGAATGTATGGTCCTTCAAACATCAAGTATGAATAGACATTTCATCAAAATTTAGTCAAGAATATTTTGAAATTTCCCCTGAGCCTAATTGAAAAAAATTAACCCAAACACTGATAAGTGAAAAGAAAAATCTGAGAAGAATGTGCCTATCCAAACAATAATACTCTTGATAGTCCTACAAGGAAGTGATATTTAAATATGGAACAAAAATAACTATTTCTCCGCCAGAGATATTGAAAGTAACCTATCTAGGCCTTTGATTACTATATAGTTTTTGAGAAAGAAAGGTTTTGACTTTCCACTTCTCCATCTTTATACAAAAAAGTGGGAACCTTCCAACAGAGGAAAAAAGCAATTAATTTCTTGCTTTCCTTCCTTCTTTGAAAGGATCCCACATTTTTTTGTATAAAAGAAGAAGTATAAAGCCTTGACTTTTCTTTACCAAAAACTAATCACTCCTAAAAATATACCCCTTTCAAATTATACAATATGATTGTTTTCTGTCCCAATATTTGAATGCAGCGCAGATAGCTATTTTAAAAAAACATCAAATCATGATCTCCAAAGTGTTTTGCATATCTACAGTTTTACTGAAAAACATTTCAATTATTTCGAAAGTCATCCAAAAATTGCTTCCACACACCAGAACTGTAACACTTTTATCTCTCTAGCCTTTAGGTATACTTTATAGTGGATATCAGAGATTTGGATTTTCATTGTTAACATATTTGAAATCTATGAGAATGAAAAAAAAAAGAATGATATTTTTTAATAAGTCTGAAATCTAGATGCCTTTGAACATTTGGGTAACTGTTAACATTACGAACAATAAAAAATACTAGGACTTGATTTAACTACCTTCATTGTAAGGTAATGGTTTTCTTAGATGCATATAAAAACATAACACAGCTGTAGAATTTCAGCCCTAGTCATGTCCTGATGATGCTTAGTTAACAAATCGTGTATCAAGAGGCAGTATTTTTGTTCCGGTGTGGGAAAAGCATTTTCAATAGATGAACTTATGTTTACCTTTGTGAAAGCTCCAGAAAAGTGGTTACAGTTGTTGTTCATGAGGTGATATCTATCTCCACGGAATTCCTTACCTAGTTCGTTTACTAATCTTTTGACATCGTCTTCAGTAAAATCTGTATAACCTATTTGTATTGTTTGCCTGAAATATTAATGAGAAATCAGAAACAGGAACTTTTTTCAATAGATATATTTAATGTACCTAAATCTGAATTGCTCTCCTAAATCTTTCTCGTCCCTAGGGTTATTTTCAAAAATTCCCGTAAAAGCGCAATGATGTCCCCCATATGCATATTCCTTTCCATATATTTCTACACCTGAATAAAAAAAAATTCAGTAAATATTTTACAAACCCAAGATGCATTGTGATGTCTACCTGAATGAAAAACTCCAAGTCCTATATTGGTTGTGTATTCGTTGATCTTGTACATATCATACACGTTTAGTAAAACAGGTTCTCTAGATGTTTTATTTGGAAGGAGTTCTTCTGAACCTGAATCTCTGGTGCCACTCATACAACTAAAGGGCAGGTTACAGGTTAGGCCGTTTGAAAACATTCTGAAATCAACATTTTCTTTTGTATTGCACTTTTTGTTTGAGACAAAGTAAGTACACAAAGGATTTCATCAGCGTGTAAGTACCTACTTTAAATAAAGTAAACTTGTTGCACTTCCACTAACTTCACTTCATAACCCAGTAGAGGTTTTGAAAATATAAAAGTTCATGAGGTCACAATGTAATACTCGTAATTTTTTATGGAAAACTTGGCTCTTGCTGATACTTTTTTAGTTTCCTTCTACAAAATAGGTTAAGTTCTTCTTCTTATTTGTATGCTCGGTGCTTGCTTTCTTAGTCAGGCGCATTTGACCAGTGTAACATAATAACAATCTCGTCGGGGGTACAATCTGACTTGCTCGAAACAATGCCGTACTCTATATGTAGCATTGCTTGTTTTCTGCTCTTAATTTGTCAAAGTTCTCGTGCCCATTTGATATTTATGCCAGCTGAAAAGTGTAGTAAAATTCAACTGACAAAATTTCGTCATGCATTTTCAACACTTTTCACCTTCTTTCTTGCTATCTTGCTATCAGCAAAACCCAACTCGGGAGATTTTTCATGAAACAGAATTCAGAACTCAAATTGGTTTTTTGTAACATTGGGGGTTCTCGAGATATTTCAATGAGTGGGTGGAAAAATATATTGTTCTCTATTCATTTCATTATTACAAATTCATTTCAATTTATATTTTCTATTTTCACTTGTATTCCAAATATTTTGTTTTGAAAAATTTAAATTTTTTATAAGCACCGCCATCTCTCGGTCAATAGCCATACTCAACTTAAAAAAAAAGAATGTTAAATTACAGAATACTTTTAACATACGATGATCGAAAACTTCAGCTTCTGACCAAAAGATGATACTGCGAGTCAAAAGCCTTCTAATTATAAGGAAAATGAATTTCTGTGATAGAGAGATGTCTTCCAGTAATTGAATATCGATTCCGGCAGTTGTATCGCCAACAGAATATGCAGGGATAACTTCAGTGAAGAATCCTGCACTGACACCTGTCTTCCTCTTGAAGATGATCACTTGGTGATCGAAACACGTGTGTTGGAAAAAACTCCAGTAATATCCACAAACATGCTTCGCTAATACAGTGGCTTATTCAAATCACTGTTGAACAAGCTTCTGTGTTAGCAAAACATGTCGTGATATATTTTTCAAATAAAGTTTGTGGAGATCAAATCGTAAGGTGTAGTTTATTATAAAAAAAGGTTAAGATTTGTTTTAAAAATAATTTTCCCTCACAAATAAAGAGAACTGAAAATAAAACACAATGAAATCGAGTACGTTTCTAAATTGCGATTCTCAAAATCTTCTGTAGGTATGTATTCTCAAACAAATCTATTTTTCACTCTTCAACTGATAGAGAGAGAAGAAATAAACCCTCTTTCTGCATACTAACAAATAAAAATCTACAGACGCCATATTTTACGGAAGGAAGTCTTAAATTGACGTAAAAATAAAATTCTCCGAGAACCATTTGTTGTGGATAATTCTGAAGCCATAGTCATATATTTCATGAAAAAAATATTCACATTAATAAGTGGGCATACTTGGAGACTGGCTGTAAATAATATTATCCAAAACAACAATTTGTTCAGACCAGTCCTAACTTACCAACACTGTTAGTCAAATGGACCACCGACATAACCTGTAATTAAGGTTTTGTCGATGAAATGGACTGACACCTATCAGAAAACAACTACTCCCCTGGCTAATACCACGAAGGGCGTTGGATTATATCCGACAGGTGTAAGTGCAGGAAGTTATTCCTGCATATTCTGTTGGCGATGCAACTGCCGGAATTACTGGAAGACATCTCTCTATTACACAGAAATTCATTTTTCGTATAATTGGAACGTTTTTCACTTGCAGTATCATCTTTTGAGCAAAAGCTGAAGTTTTTGACCATCGTATTTTAAAAGTATACTGTAATTTAACATCCATTTTCTGCAAGTTGAGTATGGCTATTGACCAAGAGATGGCGGGGATTATAAAAAATTAAAATTTTTCATAACAAAATATTTGGAATACAAGTGGAAATAGATAATATAAATTGAAATTAATTTGTTATAATGAAAACAATACATTTTAACACCCACTTATCGAAATATCTCGAGAACCATCAATATTCTGAATTCTGTTTCATGAAGAATCTTCTGTGTTTTTGCTGACAGTGTCATCTTGTGGTCAGAAGCTGAACTTTTGTAACTATGCAAATAAGATGGGACCTGTACCAACGATGTGAAAATGAAGTTGTTGATATTTAGTAGAGACATTATTTGTGAGATGGCAGAAAAATCTTTTTCTTTGAACTTTGAAAGACATGACTTATCTGATTACATTATAGATTGTGCATCCACTAGCCTATTTCTATGGCGGTTTTAGAAATATCTATTCTACATAAAATATCTATTCTACACCTACACTGTAAAATGATTTCAACAAAAACCCTTATTCTTTACACTATAACTGTAACACCTTTATCAACGAGCATTTAACCAACTGGAGCATTCCTTCATTGCTCAACAACCGCAAAAGCTCTCAACCAATGCTATAGTTGAAATGAGAGTTTGGTGTATACCAAGATGCAGCCGCCCCGGCTCCGCACAGGTGCAATGCTGATACTAAAGTTACATATATTTTTACGTAGCGGTTACGGTACCGCCATAACCGCTACGTTTCTGTAGTATCTTCGGATATGTTTGGGACATTAAAACGGATCTTTTTTAAACAACCCATGTAAGGACTTTATTTTTTAATCGGAAGGTGTAGCGTATACAAAATTTTACCAAATATTTTTTCTGGTTATCAATGTAGGAAAAACAAGTGAAACAAATTCGGAATAATATTTCATTTTCATTTAACAGGTAGAGCATAAATTGATTTTGTTTCGACTACAGAATGAACTCTCCTAACGTGCCTCTTCAGATTAGAAGGATCATGAAAACTCTTGTGACATATCAAACAAACATGTTTTTTCTCTTCGCTGTGATTCCTGATGACATGCCTTTTCAAGGCACTCGAGTTGTTGTATCCCTTGTTGCAGAATGTGCAAACGAATGGCGTTTCTCCCGTGTGAATCCTGGTGTGAACCTTGAGACTTCCACTAGCGGTAAAAGATTTTCCACAAATTGTACACAAATATTTCCTGAAATCAAGCAATGAAGCATTTTAGAAATTGAAGCTAAAGGCACAATTTGTTTTCACCTGTTACATTGGGCGTTGATATTCATCTTATCGTGACTGCATTGTTCCAACTTGCACAAACTGCAACCCGTATGCGTTTTTTTTCCTTCTCCGTGTACTGTCATGTGTGTGGCTAACGCCCCTTTTGTGAAATACTGTTTGCCACAGTGCTGACACTGGAACTGTTTCTCACCAGAATGAATTGAAATGTGCCTCTTCAAGTCACCATCTTGTATGAAGGTCTTGTCGCACATTTTGCATTTATAAGGTCGTTCACCTGAAAATGTGAATTTCATGATAGTATTTTATGGTATGAATAATTTAGATAATTATTGCATGTCCATGATGCAACTGATAACTGATACAGTACCAATATTCCAAAAACATCTTCATAGAAGCAATTTTGTGATACTATAACAATAAACGTAGATTTTTTAGTTACAGTTACAATATTAATTGAACAATTAAGGTATACTTTATTGTTTTGAAAATACACTCTATTTTATGAACAGCCCTCGTATAATAGGTTTGATATAAAACAAGAATGTTCACTTAATCAACCAGAATCATAGAGAAAATAAAAAAATTATTAATGGGAAAAAATGAACTTTTCAATACCTTACCGGTGTGTATTCTAATATGCCTTTCTAGATGTGAATTTTTCTGGAATTGTTTGTTACAGAACTCGCAGATAAACTGTTTCTTTTCGATTGTATGTATCCTCATATGGGTGCCAAATCCGTATTTGTCCAGTACTTTGTGACAAATTTTACATTCCTGTTTACTGGATTCTCTAGTTTTTGCTTCATCCTTTCCATGACTTGTTACTCCACTACTTTCTACGTTATCATCAATTTCATAGTGCTTGACTTGTTTATGTTTTTTCAAACTTGTAGAACTTCTGTATCCTTTATTGCATATTGAGCAGACGTAGGGGGTTTCTCCTAGAAGAGCAAGTTAAACAGTTTCAAGCTATTGCTTTTGCAAGAAAGAAGAAAATGAATTGTCATTCAACAAAAGAGTTGAGAATAATAATATTAATCTATGAGACAACACATTTAGAAAATCACGTTAAACTGTAACTTACACACTAAATGAACTTGCGAGCAGAATGAGAAGACAAAAATAAAAAACACCTACTACCACCACCTCCTAAGTGTTGAAAAATATACCAAAATGTATGTATACTTAATTGAAATTTTTAAATATGATTTATAACAATAATTCAAAAGAATAATTGGTCTTCATATTGTGTGAATTATATCATTTTCCATTCCACAAAAAATGTTTGGAATACAAACAGAAAGTGTTTTTTTGTATAATTCAATGTTCATATAGAAGTAGTTGTTTCTTTCAAAAGTATTTTTTCTTTAATGTAATTCAATGTTTACATGAAAGTAGCTGTTTCGAGAGGGTTTTTTCTTCCAGTTTGCGTCTGAAAGTTACTTCTGTGCATATTTGTTGAGTTTATTTTAAAATTGTTTGCTTTCTTCTTTCCTTTGAAACCTTACCACATTTTTTTGTATAAAGATGGAGAAGTAGAAAACCAGAAGTATTCTTTCCCATAATTAAATCTTTCCTAAAAATTTGCCCCTTTCAATTGGGATGAATTCACTTTGTATGTGTCCCGAAAAAAAAATGTCTATATTTTCTTTAGATACTTCACATAAGAATCTTGATTTGCGGCTATTATTATTTTTCATAAAAAAAGTCTCTTTCAATGGACAATAATAAAATAATCAAGAAACTCTCAATTCACCTGTGTGTAATCTTGTATGAACCGTGAGACTGCTTATGTAAGAAAATGACTTTCTACAATAGGAACAAGAATACGGCCTTTCACCAGTGTGGGTTTTCATATGACTAGAGAGAGCTGAGTTAGAAGTTAAAACTCTATCACACCTAGAGCAGTAGTACTTCGATTTGATGGTTTTCACTATCTGCCCGGGCTCCAATTTTGGTTTCAAAACTGTTCTCCTGGCTGCTGCAAAAATAAAATCATTCTTAACAAATTTCATGATTTATTGTAATATATATCACATGCACTAGCTCTCTATATCTTCAACATATTCATAAGTTCAATTTCCACTGACAACAATGAAGTAAAATTATCGGATTACCTTTCCTGCTATTAGATTTGCAACGTTTGGCATTTTTCAAAGCAGGTTTTTGTCTTTTTATTGAGTTCGGGCGAACATTTCGTACACCACTCAACAAAAATTTTTCTTCTTTCGCGTGTTTTTTCAGATGATTCACCAATGACAACTTCACTGCAAAACTTGCCTCACATTTAGCACATTCGAAGGATTCATTCACTTGATGTTTAGATTCCAGTGTTACACAACATTCATTTTCTGCTTCAACTACTATATCTGTACTCCCACAAGAGAATGATTCTGTAACGGAATCAGGTTGGTACTTACTTTCTAGTTTTAGCATAAGGAGGGTATGATTATTTTTACATTTTTCAATGAATTCATTTACATATTCCAGTTGCCTGACGCATTCTTCGCAAATATTGCCAGGAAACGCTTCAGTCATTTCAATCTAAGAAATAAACAAATTGAAGGGCTAGATTGGATACTTAATTGTCGCAAATAGTAATACCTTGATGTTCGTTAGTTTCTCGAATATATTTGTTACTTCCAAAGGAATAAATGGTAGCAAATTGTTGGGAAGTAAACAAACCCTACAAATCGATCCAAAATCTTCCACAGATATATTATTATCAGAAAAACATTGCCCATTTCTCTCCATTCCTTCATATAATACTTTGTTTGCAAGATCTAATAAGGGTACCATCAAATGCTGCTCCCAAATCCAACTCTCACGTTTGTAAGTTTTATTTCTCTTTAAATCAAAATATAATTCCTGAATTCAAATAGTAAAAATGATTGATAACAATCGTATAACATAGAACAATAATATTTATAACTGCCAAATTCTCAAATTTCTCATCTGATCACAGGTATCACTTGAGGTATATTCAGCATTTCTGTGAAGGGGATGCAGACATTCATTGGATCTCTTCAGTATTTCTGAATCAAGAGTGTCGTAGGTCAAGAGTTTTTGACAAAATATTTTACATGCTGAAAGGGTCCAAGTGATCACACAAGGGATATACTATATATTTTGGTTCATAAACTCCAACATAAAATGAGAAATGAGAATAAACTCAGAATTAACTCCTCCCATAGGAATTTTAAGTATGTACTATTTCATAGCGTTTTCCATTGGTAAATTTAGTGCCAGGCGAGTAAAAATTTCATGTTTCGTTGATAAAACGAGAATCAGTTTGTTCGTACTGGAACAGAGCTGCCAGAATGAAAATGTAATAATGTACTAAATCATGAAACAAAAAGTACTAAATCCGGAAAAAATGTACTAAAAAGAGTAAATATCAATATGTACCAAAACGGACTAAATAGCACCAACATCGAACATAAAAAGTACTAAATAAATGGCGGGAAGTTTAAATAAATGACGGGAACTTTTAATAAGTGGCGGGAATTTTAAAGTAATGATTTATTTATAGAAACAAAGGGACAAAACTTCACATTGTTACTGTAGACCTATATAAATAAAAAAATAAATATATGCATTTATTAAAATAAAAATATCTTCTGAAATACATACAGATATAAATACTATAAACAATGATAACAAAAAAACGTATTTGAACATATATTGCCTATATCACTTGTACAGCAACCGATTCGTAAATAGATAAAAATGTAACAGAAAAAAATGTATTAACATGTCAACAAAACAAATGGATCTATACTGTACCTCTTGTATAGAAACTAAAAAGAAAAATTAGTATATACAAAAAACAAAAAAAAATGTTATCTAGAAACAAATTAAACCTATATCACCTTTATAGAAACTAAAAGAAAAATTTGTCATATTTGTCTGAAAAAACGGTGGAGTGTTAAAAAAATATACATTTTTAATGAAATAAGAGTTTAGATATCAGTATCAGAATAACTGACTTTAGTTTTTAAAAATGTATCTGTACTGGAAAACTATAATTCGAAACGAATTACACTCAGTGCATATTTTTCATGCGTAGATATGATGTAATAGAAGCTGATATGAAAAATAATTGAGCCTTATGAAAATGTGTCAATCATTGGTGAGGTCATGAAATGAAAAATGTTTTTTCATCGTATTTGTATCATAATGAAAGGTGAAACTGCAATCTTTGACTTGACGTAGAATTAATCCTAAACAACACTTTTTCCAATCACCAGTACTGCAATACTCCTCTCAGCGCGCATTTCACCAACCAAGTTGACGTCTTCAGGAGATGTAGAAAACTACAGTTTTTTTCATCTTCGTCATTTCTGGTGATTGCGAAAAGTGCTTGTTTTGGATTTGTACCTTGGTAAAAGTGACAACGTAGTACGATCACAAAAAATACAGATACACAGAAGAGTAATTTTCTGTGACACAGATTACAAATAATCTGACAGGTCTTAACGTGATGTACTTTCATCCTTTTCCCGCCTTTTTGAAGTTCATTTGATCTAGTATATATATTTCGTTGGGGTTAACTTTTTACTTTCAATTTTACAATCGAATAGTTAAAAATGGTTTGTACCGAAGTAATGGATAATGCAGATGAACAAGTCGCCAAAAAAATCAAAACTGAACCCACAGAAAATATTAAAGAAATTGGGGAAACTATTGTGCGGCCCAAAGTCAAATCTGAAAGGTGTACGCAATGTAAACAGTTTATGGACAATGTGCTTTTGTACAGTGGCCATCCAAATCATTCCAATGAGGAATTTATAGCATTAACAGATGAAAAGCTTTCGTTGTTTACAGGAACTGAGGAGTCTATTGCTGAGGCTGATGAAATTCCTACCCATAAGGTAAATGTTAATTGAAGTTTGTTGTGATCTCTATCAATTCTTCAATCAACCTTTTGAAAAAAATTATCTGTTGGCAGATACAGTAAGTGAAAAGGATCCTTTTGAGTTTTTGTTGTCACTTCTGATACAAGAACAATTTTTTCAATTCACCAGTTCGCCATCTGTTTTGTTGAACTCTTCGTGGTTTACAATAGATGTAATTTACAGTAATAAACAAATTTTGTTAAATTTTTTTTTTTTAGATAACATACTTCAGTGTGTACGATGATAAAGGTCATTTGTGTTCTTTCGATTCTGGACTAATTGAGAAAAACATTCCCCTTCGCTTTTCCGGATATGTTAAACCTATATATGATGAAAATCCAAGCCCAGACGATGGTATACCTGGGCATGATTTCGGACCAATTAATGAGTGGTAAGCTCAATACATTTCCTCGAGAATTAGGAAGCTGTAAAGAATTTATTTAAGGTGGACAGCTGGTTATGACGGAGGAGAAAAGTTACCCATGGGATTCACTACAGAATATGCCAACTATTACCTCATGGATCCCTCTCCAGAATATGAGCCGCTTTTTAAGAAAATCAAAGAAAAAATTCAGATGTCTAAGATCGTAATAGAATTTCTACTCGATAAAGGATGGGAGAATCCCAACTATGAAGATTTAATACAACAAATTGAGAGTTCAGGCCAGTATAAAAATGTTGAAGATGCTCTTCTGCAGAATGCCCAGTTTATTTGTGATCAGGTGGGATGCTATATTCTCTACCTTTCATATGGAAAGTATCATTTTTTTTTCATTGCAGATTGTGAGCTATGACGTTGAATCTCCAGAAGATGAAAAACCATTAATTTCTCTGCGTTGCATGAGGGATCTTGTGAAGATGGCCGGAGTATCATTTCAGAAACGTAAAAAAATGAGGAAAACTGAAACCAAGGTATATAACATAAAAATACCAATAAAAAACTATTTTTATGTATCTATTTTAGGGTTTAAAAGTTAAGAAAGGCCCCGTTTGGACCAAAGCGGTAACAACCAAACTCGTGCAAGGCGTATTTGAACATTTCTTTCCAGATCAACTTGATGCGAAAAATGATAATAAAGGACCAAAAAAAAAACGCTGTGGAGTATGCGAATCGTGCCAGTCACCGGATTGCGGGGAGTGCAATCATTGCAAGGATATGTTGAAGTTCGGTGGTTCAGGACGGTCTAAACAAGCTTGCAAAAATAGAAGGTATTCAATCGTTTATTTGTAATTGTTTACTACTCACTATTTACTACTCACTGTGTATTAATAGAGAAAATGCGAGTCTTTTCTCTAACGGATGCCAACGTGTGGTAGAACTATCACTTCCACCACTTCGTTAGCAGGTTTGGAAGGAGAAGGCGGCATGCTACGGATGTGTTTCACACTGCAGAGTATGCATTCTCGCCAGTGTCCTCTTCGTACAGGCTCACTACTTGCAAAGCAATGCATTATGATTATTCCCACCACTGAATTCAGTACATTTCCATTTTTGTTTTTCGAATAGATGTCCTAACATGGCAATTCATGATGCAGAAATTTCCGATAACGAAGACGAATCTGAAGTGAGAGAAGATTCTAAAAAAGCCAAGTTCAAGCACTGTTCAAAGAGGATATTACACACCGTGACTTGGGATGAAAAATCCGAACTCAAGTATCGAGGGAATGTTTGCTATTCCTCCGCAGTTGTCGGTGAGTCACGTTAATAAAAAATGCATGTGCTTTTGTCTAATTCGCATTTTACTAGGTGATATAACTGTTAAGAGTGGAGACTGTGTCATGCTCAGATCGGAAAATCCCAACGAGCCATTATGCATCGTGAAAATTGTCTACATGTACGATATGCTGCCGCAAAAGTTTATGTTTCACGGTCACCTATTTTGCCGGGCTACAGATTCCATTTTAGGTGAAACAGCTGATCCGAGAGAGTTATTTTTCGTTGACGATTGTGATGATTTACCTCTAGGAAGCATTGTTCGAAAAGCAGAGGTAAAATGCTATTAATTATTTCAAAGATTTTTTCTGAAACATGGTCAAATTTCAGGTGGAATATAGGAAAACTCCCGACAACTGGTTCTTAGTCGGCGGAGATTTGAACCTGCAAGAACCATTGGAAGATGACGGGAAATCGTTTTTTTATAGCAAGCGACTGGACGAAAATAGGTTTGTCGACATTGATTTTGATCCAGAAACATCGAATGATGAATGCCATTCCTGCAGGTATGTATTAGAGATTTAATATCAATGACTTATTCATTCACAGGTATTGCAATTTTAACATAAGCTAGACAATTTAAATATATGAGGATCATTTTATGTGCCCATATAAATGAAAAATGACAGTGATGGCGTTCAATTATTATGAATCATTATCATGATAATTCCTTTTAACTGATTGATATGTGAGTGAACAGTGTGTCTTATCCACAAAAAATATAAAAATCAATTTGGGAACACCTCAACTTATAGTACACGTCAGTCTTACTCCGTTTCCCTTCCCACACCTTCTCTAGCCCTTACACAAAATTCTATTATTTTCAATAGCAAGAAGTTATTTAACCACCTTCCCATTAATTTAAAGCGAATATATAATGGAAAGAAATTCAGAAAGAAAGTGAAAGAATACCTTGTTGGGAGGCCCTATTATAGTGTGGACGAATTCTACCAAGGCTCTATCGAATAATTGACATGTAGCTTTGTGTAAACAAGTTATTGAAACCAACACAAAATGGCTATCAATGTTCATTATGTAGAATTATATATTTACTTTTACTTAATATTCATAAATTCATGTACTTATATTTGTAGCTGTTCAGCTGGACTTAATATTGTTCTGTCCATATACTCTGCTCCGGTGTTTAAGCATTATTTTATAGTTTATATTTGTTAATTGTCCCTTATACATGTTTTACTTTACTAGACTTTGCCAATAAGATGTTTATATCTTGGGTAATAAAGCATATTTTGATTTGATTTGACCACAATGCTGTGCTAATTTTGTAGGGGTCATATGATACCTCTGAAAATGGACGAGTTGTATAGTCCTGAAGTAGAGAATGCCTTTCAGCCTTGAGCTGCCATTTGTATGTGGTGCACATGAAAATCTTGGAAAAGTGAAAACAATGTACATTTGAAAAAACCTCTTAATGTTATATCACCTCTCTCTTTGAATGATCATTGATACATTATTTTGGACTAGGAAGTAGTTTCTTAACGATCATACTATTAACAACAAAGGAAGCAGACTTAATGATTGAAAACAGACCTAGTTCTAAATTTTTGGAGGTGATAACTGACAGTGAACCTAAATTCGCCGATCATCCTCAATAAAAGGCTAGTTCAGGGTGTTTTGCGGTGATAATGTCTTACAAGGAACTTGGTTTGCCTGCCTCAAAGTCCACTCAGTTCTCATTCATTGATTCTCATTCAAGGTATGGAATTCCCTTCTGTGGTAATTCCCTTCTAAGATTCATGTGTACTGCCAAAAGTTGAGACTCTTGCAAACCCGTGTTTGAACTACATAAAATTTTTACAGTCTTTGGAACTTTTATTTTAGAAACAGTCTGATTAACAAACATAAACTGATATTTAGCGGCTACTCTATTATAATTATACACTTCATCAAGCTAATGACCAAAGTTTACCCTTACCAGCCTCTGCTCTAGTCAAAGGCTCCTAATATTATAATAGTTTTAACATGGTTAATCATTTACCTGGCTAATTGAGAATTATCTGGTAAAAAATAATTTTTCTAGAGCCCTTATTACAAAAATAATTAAAGAAAGAAGTTCCTCTTCTCAAAATACAAGGGTGAAATTCAAATATCACAAAATTCCATTTGTAGAACATTTATCTGATAAACTTGGAATGCTACTCAGTACGGAACAAATTGAAATGGCATTTTCAAATAAGAATACAGTTGGAAAGCATTTTTTCTCGAAACAAAAAAACAAAACCATCACAAGAAATACAATCCAATATAGTGTACAAAGTGAACTGTGGAAGCCGTCACAAATGCTATGTTGGTCAAACCGGGCGAAATCTCAAAACACGAGTTTCAGAACACATGGGAGATTGTTTGATCTTCTTCTAGGATCTAGGAGAAGATCACTTGGTAATCGAAACACGTGTCGAGATGTTAAAATAAAGGTTTGGTGTTAGGGATAAAATCCAGTAATATTCTTTGAGAATTATGAGTGTTATTCCAAAGAGGGATTTCAAAATAAATGTTTTGCAGTGTACTATACTGAAATCAAATATTGAATTTTTCAATAGATCCGGCTGAGGTATCATACGTCCCCCAAAAATTCATCATGGACTTGCTGTACCTAGTTATGGATTCATTTTTTCCATAAAATACGTTGAAAACCTTGAATACCTTTGATAATATATATTTTTAATTTCGATAGGAGAAAATCTGAAATGAAAAAATACGAAACTCCTTTATTGGAAGGCAATACTGTTCAGTGGAAGAATGAAATGTACAGAGTTGGTTCTGGTGTTTTTCTTCAACCAGACATCTACCGTTTTGAAAATACCATCAAAACTGAACAAGTCGAAAACGTGGGTATTCCCAACCAATCTTTGACTGTTTAATAATTACTTTATTGATCTTTCAGAAAGAAAATAAAGTAGATGAAGTTCTATATCCAGAGTTCTACAGAAAAAAGTCCGACAATGTGAAAGGCTCAAATAGCGACACTCCTGACCCCTTCATAATAGGCCTTATTGAAGATATAGTGAAACAGAAAAACGATATAAAAGTGAAAATTAAAATTCTTTTCCGGCCAGAAAATACAGTCAGCTCCATGTTTTCATCGCACGTGAAAGATTTGAATTATTTGTATTACACAGACGAAGGTAAAAATTAGTGCTGAAAATATTAGGTAGGTAGGTTTGTCAGGGGTAGGCTTTTACACAAGAGAATCAAGTCACTAAGTCGAGGAAGATAAAGTGAAAATTTCGAATGAGGTTCAAAACTTTTATCTCTTTCAGCTTTTAGTAGAATTTGGCAAATGTGTGCCAGCAAACGACTACTACTCTGGCTAATTCTATGACGATTATTAGAACAAAGAAAACTCTCAGATGTTTTTCTAAAGTTTTGTTTCATGAATTCTCATTTTTTTTTATGACAAATTTGTAGTTTTCAGAAAATTTCAAGAGAATACAATTTGGATAAATTGTAAATAAAACTTTATTATGGATTCATTGGGGTTAATTGAATAACAAACAATTGATCAAAAAGCAACTTACTGAAAACATTCATGGTTTCTTAATATATGGCAATTTTCAGGGGTTACCGTCTCATTCGAAAAAGTAATGGGAAAATGCTATTTGGCGTTTGGTGATAACTTTCAATCTCCGAGCGACTGGTCGAAGAAAGGCCCTTTCAGGTATTATTTCATGGAATCTTATGACCCAAAGAAGCACACTTACGACGAAGTGCCTTTGCGTTATCGGAAACTCGGCACTCTGGGCAAAGGAAAAGGTTAGTCTTTTTTGTAATGAATTGTTAATCATATGCTACAATTATTTTTCTGAAAGTTCATAATAATTTGCGATTTCACAAGGAATGAATTCTGATATTCTTATGTTTCCATGATTACACTAGCCAACAAATAAGAAAAAAAATTGCGACTAATATTATAATGGCTATACATCCTGACTGCGACTCCAACGTCAAAAATTTTCCATCATGTAAAGATTTTGAGTTATAGTTATTTTTATTTTATACAAAAATTTTCACATATCAGGGAAATATAAGATCAAAACAAGAAAAAAAACAATATATTTTGAGGATAACAGACTTTATTTACAATATACACAAAAAACATTCAAATGAAGTCTTTTGTACATAACCTTCTTGCAAATGTTGACTTTCATTTATATGTTTCATCGTTTTCCCTCATAAGGAACCAACAATAATCCCCTATCATGAGGTAGACAAGTGTAAAATTCATCTCTTTGCTGATGACACACTTGTATATTACTGTGCACATGATGTGGAACATTTGATAGATACAATGAATAGTGAACTACAAAAAATAAGTCGGTGGTGTAGTTATAATGTATTGAAATTAAATGGTAATAAATCAAAATTCATGTTATTTATTTATAAAATGTGATATCATGAACTTGAAAGCAGACATTTAAATATCCATATTGATAATATAGAAATAGAAACCGTTAGTGCTACGAAATACCTTGGAGTCTTAATTGATAGAGGCTTAACATTCAAAGAACACGTACAAGAAATGTTAGCTTTCTAGGAAGGATTTCGTCAACACTTACAAAATCTACAAAAATTATAATATATAACACACTTATATTACCACATTTTACATTTTGTGCATCGATAATATATACTGCCAATAAAAATGAAATGGATAGATTACAAAAACAGCAAAACCGAGCCATGAGGATCATATTAAGAAAACCAAGAGAGACACAAATCAAAGCAATGCTGAAGGAATTGCAATGGATGGCTGTGACAGATCTCGTATATTACTATACAATGATAATGATATATAAAATGAATAATCACCTATCACCGACATACCTGAGTAGGCATATTGAACACAATGAGAATAATCATCACTATAATACAAGAACGCGTAATAACATATATGTAGGAGTTAAAAATAAAAAGTGTACTGAGAAATCCATTTACCATGCAGGAATGTTAGCTTTTAATAGTTTGAACAAAAATATTAAAGAATGTAGCACTCTTGCATTATTCAAAAGAGAGTTGAAGAGTCATCTATTGGGTGAATGAACTAGCCTTTATATAATATAAATTTTGACTGTATAAACTTTTTTTTTGTATTCTATATTTGTATTTTGTTTGTGTTTTATATTGACTAACAACTGTGATGTTTTAAGTAGATGTTGTATATTTATTGTAGTACTCATACTTTGAAATTTTATTCCTGAGTTTGTATTCCTGCCTTGGTAACGTTGCTCCATTGTCAGTATGTCTTGGTGGAACCTTTCCCCTTGTTCGCCACTGAAAGCACCCAAATTTTCTGGGAAAAATTCAAATGGGAGTGCAAGAAATGGATTTTGAGAGACATGCGACATCCCATTCTGCAGTAGTTTTCAAGAAGTTCTTCTACAAGTGTTTCATAATTTTCTACTTTCTTGTTCCCTAAAAACTCCGAAACAATTCTTTTCAAAGAACTCCACGAAGCTAATTCAATATTACTTAATTTTTGATCAAACTTTACTTTACTTTACTTTTTACTCCTACAAACACAATATTGAATTGTAATTAAAAGTAAGAGAGATAAAACTACAGTAACAAAATAAGCTTAAGAACTACTAACTAAAATAAAACAAAACAGTAAATATAAAAGGAAACAAAAAAGAAATCAAATAATATAACTGAGCACTTATCGATATTTAAGAACATTTTGTTACTTTCAAACCACCTGCAAACCGAATCAAGATCTTCCTGCAATTTCATGCAGTCTTCTAGGCACGTTATTAGCTTAAACAGCTCAAAATCATCTGCGAATATAAGGCAAAATGAGTGTAAAATGCAGTGAGCTAGGTCATTGATGAAAATTATGTTGATAACTTAGTAGTTTGTGGTCCAACAAATATACCTTCCTTGAGCTTTGCATCATTTAATATTGGAAAAACGTGTTCAAGATATTTAAACGCATCACCTTCTTTGTCTAATGCTTTCACAAAATTTCCATAACCCCAATTTAATTTGTAATGGAGGTAACAAAACGTTTTTGGGATTAACAAGAGATATATTCTTCACGTTGGCATGACCTGGAATATATTTATCCCTTGTAGGCCATTCTTTTACTTGATAATCGCTCTGTGTTGCCCTACTGTTCCAAAGGCAAAGAAAACAGCAAAACTTCGTAAATCCGCCCTGAAGACCTAGTATTAGTCCTATGACTTTTAGGTCACCACATATTTGCCACTTATACGTATTTAAAAAGATGTAAAAGATCTTCTGATCTAGATAGTTTTTATCAAGTTACACTTTGTCGTGAAATTTTCACTGGGTAGATTACAAAACCGCAACACGTATTTCGCCATTCAAAAGCATTCTCAAGGCTTTTCATACTGACTAAATTCTACTCAACTTGTGCTTTATATAATAACAATTTGTATTATATGAACTTCTACCTATGTAATGCATACTTTTATTTTATCTGAGGAGAGGTGAAGAATTCATTTTTTTTATCATTCAGTAAATTTTCAGAATTCTAAAATCTATTAATTTCTAAGTATTTCAAAAGATTGACTTTCAAACCTTTCTCTTTGAAATGTAATACTTCGTCATAGCTCAACTAATGCCCCTCTGTCAAAAGATGATTTGCAAATGTGGAACTGGTTTTCACATTCAAGAAACTTTCTTATATTCTTTTACTCTTTGAGTAAAGGTTCTCCCTGTTTGACCAATATTACTTCCATCGATGGTTTATAAACTTTCATGTACAATGTGTGTTTCGTTCAGGTGGAAAAGGAAAAGTGAAGAGTAAGTTTGAAATTGAGTTGCCTGAAATACCGCCAGAATGGGAGCAGATAGACCGACCACTACGGTGCATGGACGTTTTTGCTGGCTGCGGAGGATTATCCGAAGGTCTACATCAGTCGGGAGTTGCAGTATCTCAATGGGCGGTAAGTTCTTTTTGACTCATTAATCTAGTATGCTTCGAAGCTTCCTATACTTAATTTCATCAATTTCACTTTCAGATTGAGATAGAGTTATCTGCCGCAAATGCGTATAGATTGAATAATCCTGACTGCAAGGTTTTTTCGCAAGATTGCAACGATTTGTTGAAAATGGTACTCAACGGACAAGGGAAAGAAAAGGGACTTCCGTGCAAAGGAGACGTGGAAATGCTGGTGGGAGGCCCGCCATGTCAAGGATTCTCAGGCATGAACAGGTTCAATGCTGGCCAGTATTCATTATTCAAAAACTCTCTCGTCGTATCTTACTTGAGTTACTGTGAATATTACAGGTACGTATTGACATAGCGAGTTATCTATTAGTCTACTGTTGATGTTATTTCAGGCCCAAATATTTTATATTAGAAAATGTTAGGAATTTCGTGTCTTTCAAAAGAAGTATGGTGCTGAAATTGACCTTGAGGTGTCTTCTCGCTATGGGATATCAAGTAACTTTTGGTGTTTTACAAGCTGGGCACTACGGAGTGCCACAAACAAGGAGGAGGCTCATTCTGATGGCTGCCGCTCCAGGTTTCATTCTACCAAAGTACCCAGAACCCATGCATGTATTCAACAAAAGAGGTTGCCAGTTGTCATTTGCAGTGGACGGATGCCGTTATTTTAATGGTAATACTTGAATACTTTTATTTTTCTGCCAATCGGAATTCAAATTCAAATACATGGCCTCATAATGAAGTAGGTCTAATACCGTGTCCTGAAAGTCTACTAGACTGAGTTTCCATCATACACATTTGGTGTCGGTACACAATTCTGGATTAAATTTGTAGCATTTGAAATGCTACAACACAGAATAATCGATACCTTTTACCTAATACTATTTCAAGAGTGAACACACTGTATAGAAAAATAAAAAAAAAAACCGAACAAACCAATATTCAGAGTATTCATTTTCACATCCAGGAAACATCAAAATGTTCGGAGACCCAATAAAGTCCATTTGATGGTATGTTTCTTATTTCGCGATTAAATTAATTTCTGGTGATTTTCCAATATCAGCTATGGCTCATACTGTCAGTATGTACACTCTAAAAATATCAGTTTTAATGAATATGAAAAATAATATAGCAGACATCATTTAACATTTTGAACACCTCTGATTGTCTTATCGTATCCTAAACTTTGTCTCTCCGTGGGGGCTGCCCTCAGTGAATATTTCCGTAGCGTGACGGTATTTCATGTTCCTTTTAAAATTGCCATTCTTAGCCAAGAAACTGAAGAGTTCAAATGAGAAGCATTGTCGAGATCACACAAGGAAAATTAGTTTTTGTGGTGGGATCATGAGTTCATGGATCTATAAAACATCACAGATTACGAGCCTTGTACAGTGAAAAATCTCAGCAAATATATTTTTTTTTGGACCCTTTCCACTTTGAGGCCACATACCACCAAGTGTAACTGAAGTTCCAAGTGCCCAAATAAGCCCTGTTTCATTTTCAGGCCTCTTTTTCCTTCTCCTCAATTTTATTTATTATATTGATTTCTACCTGAAATCATCATTCGATGTACAAAAGTAGAAGAATAGTACCGACCGGCATTTTGGATCCTTTCAATTTCAACTGTCACCTATGGTAGTTTCTGATCACTCTTTTGTTAAATTCATCAGTAATCATCCTTGGGAAATTGGACGAAGTCTATGTAACCGGCGGCCCTCGAAATATAGCTCCCTCGTAAAAACTGAGTAACCGTTTGCAACTGTGTAGCCTTGTTTTATTTTATTCTCTTTGATTTTTTTTAAACAACCAAGGTTATAAATTCTATGGAGTACCGCCAAGTAAAAAACCCTAGTTGAAAGTTTGAAATGCACAGAGCCTAGAACTTAATTGAGCCCCGGAAGCCATTGAACGAAAATGGTATACAGTCTATTTCCTTTAGTAGGAGAGTAATAAATTATTTTCAAGTAGCTGTTCCATAGGCACACATAATTGAGTTGGTTGAAAAAGGAGGAGAGGTAGTTTTTATTTTAAGCATTCAATGTTGTATGATTTGATATAACAAATCTCAAAAGATCCTAAGATATTTACAATTTTTGCTAAAAAAGAGGATAACTTCATGATCAATCCAATCAAATTGTGCTTTAATTAGGTACTTTATTATTTGATTTTTGATTTATTCATTTAAATAGGACAATCCTAATTTACAAAAAATAAAATAGTTAACATACTTATTTTACATTAAATATAACTTATAATAAATGTAAGTATAAAGATATATAATAAATTTGAGTATACATATACATATACACACATATATACTTGTGAGCTCTATAATGTTTTTATAAGTTGTAATAATATAATATGTTTTGACTAGTCTGATAAGTTTTGTACCATTGTGTAAGAAACTTCAATGATGAATAAATTATCTGTATCTGTATCTACTACATCGCAATAATATTCTCATTGCTCGATTTTGTAGCTTTTGTAATTGGGATATTTTATTCAGATCAAAGCAGTATAGTAGTGTAGGGCAATATTCAAAATGAGGTTGAATGATAGTCACAGTTATTCTGGAATTCAGACTTAAGTTTTGGGACACTCTAGAAAAGAAATATAGTTTTTTCAAGATTTTTTTTAATATTCAAAATGGCTACTAAATAATAAATTATTATCCAATATAAATCCCAGATATTTAAATTCCTTTACAATTTCAATTTTTTCATTGTTTATTTCTATGTTAATGTTACTACTGTTTATTTGTTTATATTTATAAGGTATATTAATTATCATTGCCTTACTTTTACTTACATTCAACTTCAAATATCCATCCATATTTTTCAGCACATCATTTATTTTGATCACTGCTCTATCGATATATGAATGTAGTCACATTCAACATTTTTTTCCAAAACATTAATATACATTGAAAACAATAGAGGGCCCAAAATACTACTCTGAGGAACTCCATGATTCACTGTAATAGCTGACGACATTACGTCACAAATTTTTCTTGTCTGTTTTCTATTTGTAATTTTCTATTTGTATTTGTATTGTATTGTATTATCTGAGAAATATGAATGAACGATGAAGTCCTTGAGTCTTTATCAGGGTAGTTATTGTCAAATATGGAAATTCATCATAAAACAATTAAACAGCTATTTTCATATAAACATTGAATTACACCAAAGAAAAATTCTTTTATATGAACACTGAATTATACAATTTAAATATTATTTATATATAAATAAATAAACATTGGTATTTGTTATTTTTGACAATTATTTTTGATTTAATACTCATGTACAAGTCACTGCATGTATAAAACGTCCTGAAAGCTCATAAAATATTTTGTTAGTGACCCGTTTGCGATACAAAAATAGGGTGGACCCGGTAAAGTATTATAAACCCACTTATACCTGCTTTGGCAAATCGGAACAAAATTACAAAATTTTGGTGGAGCACTATTTTAGCATTTTGCATTTATGATGAGCATTTATAACTTTTCAGTATAAAGAAACAGAATACAGTGCAGTCCTTACTTCGTCGAAGTTCTTTATGAAAAAAAAAAAACATTTTTTTTTCTAATTTGCAGGATGTGACTGGACAGAATCAGCCCCTTTCAGGACGATCTGCGTCAGAGACGCGATGTCGGATCTACCTGACATCGGCAACGGATGGAGTAAAAGTGAGATGCCCTACGACTGCGATGCAGTTTCTCACTTCCAAAAGATGATGAGAGGAAATGATGAAAGGGTTCTGGTGCAAGACCACATTTGCAAAGAGATGTCTGCCATCGTTGAGTCGAGAATATCTCATATTCCGACCTACCCCGGTGCTGATTGGAGGGACTTGCCCAATATATCGGTGAAGTTAGGAGACGAACTGTCAACGTTCGTTTTGAGATATCCTTACAGGTGAATTGGCGATTTTCGTTTCGAAGCCTCGTATATATGTTTGGATGCTTGTTTCAGTTCCAAGAAACAGAAAAAATCTGATCCTCCAAGGGGTGTGTGTCAGTGCGCCACCGGAGCCCAGTGCGATCCAGCAGACAGACAATTCAATACTTTGATTCCTTGGTGCTTGCCGCACACCGCCGACCGTCACAACCACTGGGCAGGGCTGTACGGTAGATTGGAATGGGACGGGTTTTTCGGCACTACAATCACCAATCCCGAGCCGATGGGAAAACAGGGACGGGGTGAGCTTAGACTAGTTCTCTGGGATATATTGTTGGTTTTATATTACTTTAATTTTTTCAGTGCTCCACCCGGAACAGAATAGAGTTGTTAGTGTAAGAGAATGCGCTCGATCTCAGGGCTTTCCGGATAAATTCAAATTTTACGGAAACATTTTGGATAAGCACAGGCAAGTTGGGAATGCTGTGCCGCCGCCTTTAGGGGCAGCTCTCGGTAGAGAAGTTCGTAAAGCTTTGGTGGGGACTTTGAAGGGAAAAACACCATCTGAAACTTGCAGCACTTGATTATTTGGCATTCGCTGATTTGTTTTTATTCTATATGATTTTAATTTTCACTCATCTGTAATAATTACAGTTGGAAGAATCGTTTATGTTGTATCGTTAATTTAAATTTGAAGACATTGGTTTTTACTTGTTTGATAATTTTATAATAAACCTTTTGTTCTATTTGGATTTATTTCATTATATTCTTGCATATACATTTGTGGTGAAAACACATATCTACATCAGTGAAATCCTCTTTTTTTATTACAAAAAAATTATGAAAGCTCGAGTTATCATAATTTGATTGAAGTGAATGATTCTTCCAAGTTCTCGAGACATTCCAAGTACCTTCAAAAATGATTGGAATACTTTCCGCAGATGAACTGATGAATCAAAGTTGCACAGGGTATAAAAAATTTGGTAGTATCAATGGGCTTACGGCTCGCAGCATGCAAAATTTATTGCTTTTTTTTCGAAAATATATAACACTTCGAGGCCCATTTATATTAAATCAACTATATCATGTTTAGGTACAATTCCTCAACCAAAAACTATAAGTGAATTAGCAGTGTTTCCCATGAACAAAATATATGGGCATGTACAGGCAGTGCAAGAACTGGAGTTGTGCAGTTTGGCGGAAGACTCGCAGCAAAACGGTCAAGCTTTAACAGAAAAGGAAGTGGGAACTCTAAATGAGGTCCTCACAGTCCCCAAAAGAACTAACATCTAATTCAGTTTTGAGCAGTTTTGCTTCGAATTCCTTATCCTACCAGTCCAATGAAGGGGTGAATCATCGTATCCGTGTTTACTCAGAAGAAGATAGTAGTGGCAAACGTAGTTGCAACAATAGATCGGTGATACATTCTTCCGTAAAAACTCTTGGGTTCAATGGATTAAAAAATCTTGAAAACACCTGTTTCATGAACAGTATAATCCAATGTTTATCAAACACGGGATGGTTTCTGGAATACCTAAAAAAGGATACATACATGGAAGATATCAATACTAGTATTTCTAGTTTGAAAGGTGTTTTAATCAAAGCGTTCGCAGAAGTTATCAAGGAATTGTGGTCAGAAGATTCATCTGGTAGAGTAATTTACACAGTCTACTTCAAAAATCGGATTCAAAGATTTGCCCCTCGATTCATGGGTTCTGCCCATCAAGACGCCCACGAATTCCTTCGATATCTTTTAGAAGGTTTACATGAGGACCTCAACAGAATTACTGAGAAATCTGAACCGATCTTAACTGAGATTGACGAAAAATTGAGCGATAACGGAAAAGCCCAAGAGTTCTGGCAGAGATATTTGAATATGAACAACTCCAAGATTGTAGATTATTTCGTTGGTCAGTTAAAATCCACTATGAAGTGCACACACTGTGGACACTCATCAGTAACCTTTGATCCTTTCTGGGATTTATCTCTTCCCATACCACAAAGGACTGGCCAATTGAGTTTGTCACATTGCTTGGATTCTTTCACAAGAGAGAAAACTCTGGATGGAGGTGCAAGCAAAGGAGAAAATGTACAAAGTCCTTATCCGGTCAGTCGGTAGCCAAGCGGTTCGGCGTGGGTGCTTTGTTCACTCACTCGAATTGACTGCCGTGTTGGTCGGTGGTTCAAGCCCTAGTCTGAACGATCGATCTTCACTTGCTACCGTCCAACCCGTGTTAGGAATCACACGTTAAAAGGTAAGACCTCGTTAATCCTTAGCTGGCACAGATTTTAAACAGATCTATAAGTTTTCCCGTATTTTCGTCATTCATTTGAAAATATTCTCTCCAACGGAAAGATTCAGAGGCAAATTGAATGTGTCCATTGACTTTTCTTCAGATGGATTAGATATGAGCAGTTATGCAGCAGACAATGTGGCTCCTTGTTGTTATAATCTATATGCACTTTCAAATCACAGTGGGACTACTTACAACGGACATTACACAGCATATAGCAGACACCCATTTAGTGGCACGTGGCATGAATACAACGATTCAAACGTGTTCCCAATTTCGCCAAAATCACTTGTGAGCGATGAGGCATATGTCCTCTTTTATGAACAGTAGGGAACGAAGCAGCACCTTTGATGTGATTTTTTTTCTTAGTTCTTTGAATTGATTTATATTTCTTGATTGTTCCAAATAAAATCATGGGAAAAACTATATCTGGATTTATTTTGTAGTATATTTTTTTCTGAGTTGGTTACTATATATGTAATGAGTGCCAGTCGTCACCTTGATTATCTCAATGAAAAAACTGCAAATAAAACTCAAAATATCACCAGGGACATATCCTACAACTGATGGCAACCATACAGAGTAAACCAAGTAAAAAAAATGAATTCAAATGAAATACATAAAACAATAAAATAAAATATGAGAATAAAATAACATTAAAAACAATAGAAATTATCATGAATCCTAAAAAATTGTTTACTCATTATAATCACTAAGAATGTGCCACCAATAAAATAAACATTCTTTGTGAAAAGTCTTATAATTGTTAAAAAGAAACAGCACTCTCATTCACGCCGGTTGGAGGCCGGGACGGGATGCCCACGTGGGAGTGTTATAGTGAAACTACAGAACCCCTATCCCCAATCACGCCTGTTGGATGTCGGGGTGGACCGGATGTCCACATGGGGACTGGATTTTATCAATCATATGTGTCAATAAAAAATATTAAGTGTTTTTATAAAAAAAAAAGGATGGAAGCATTGCTTAGAGCAAGACCGCTGCGCCCTCCCCCGATAAAGTTTTCATTATAGTTACCCCTTTATTAAAAAACCATTGGTCATAGTACCGCCAAATATGGAAGCTAGGATCAAAATTAAGAAGAAGAGGAAGAAGATCTTTTAGGTTATTTTGTGTTTTGGTCTTGAAATTTGTTTTGATTTTCAGTCTGGTATTCAGTTTGAAATTTCAATTTTATAATAAAAAAGATTGATGTTGAAATCTAAAAAATATCAGAGGTGTAATATTAGCTAATATGACACTCGAAAAAGGTGAATCACATTGATTTTCAATTAACTATTCCCATGATCATGCTGTTGGAATTAATGAAACAAAGTTTCAAGTTATCATGGTCCTTTTGAAATAACATATTTGGAGGTGTATTAAGGGGATCGGCGGATTTTAAAATTCTATCAAATCCTGTTAATAAAAAATTAAGTAATAATTCTAAATCAAAAAATTTTCAATTTCAGAAATATCAGTGATCCTTGATGATGAGGAGGAACCACTTTGCAAAAGATTGAAAATTGCCGATAATGCTTTCAAGTGCTCCGAATTACCACTGCAGTGTAAACCTCTGCTGTTAAAGTGGATATTGAAAAGTAGTGTAAAGACTTCTGAAGATACTTGGCGATTTTTGAATGAATGGCTCAGTTTGGATCATTTTCAAAAACTTACTAGAAATGAAATTGATATCAAAGAAATAAAGGGGTTCATTAAAGTAAGTTATTTTATATATTTTGTAAAAAATAATTATAATTCTTTTTTTTCAGCTTCTTATCAATACATTGGAATCTACTCAGGAGACCAATGAAAATATATTGGAAACTATAATCAACGCTGTGGGATTTCTTGTGGAAAACAGAACCTTCTTACAGTATTTTGTAACCAAAATAACTGATTACTGCAGACTAATTGCATGTGTTTTGGATAAAATCCAAAGCCCAATGAAGTTCACTGATTTCATAAGAAATAAAATATTATTTCATAAAAGTCTGATACTTGCAAAAGACTTTGTATCACAATTTCTAAGTATTGTTATGCCAAAGTTTGTAGAACACTTAGTCAAATTTGATACTAAGGATGTATTTCTTGAAGTTTCCAAAGTTATTCAAAAGGTGTGTATATTTATTTACATTACACAAGTTGTGTAAATACCATTTTTTTATATCTACATTTATGTAGTAGTATAATTTGTTGTTGTTTTTTACAGTGCATATTTTACAATAATCGTAGAATGTTTGCAAATTTTATGGATCAATTTTTCACTGGAGCCGATTACGAGGATCTTACTGTGCCAAAAACTTTGTTCCTCAACCTTCTAGAAGTTTATAAATTAGATGAAGGCATGGCAAAGGTTTATGTTAAACTGATGAGTCATGCATTTTCTGTGGCATATGATGACTTCGAACTGTTCCATAAGTTCTTCATAGTAATGCTTTACATACAAGGATTTGAATTGAGTCCAGAATTAACAGCACATTCAGGTAGTATCCTGGCATTACCCGATAAAATAAGAGTACAGAAAATATCCCTTGATACCACTTTGGAGTTGCTGAGGGTTGTGTCTGAGACCAAAACCAACTTAGGGTGCAAAGTCAAAGACATTACCTTTTCTGACTTGCTGAAAAATATTTTAACCGATTACGTCTTCCTCAAAAAGCCTTCGAGTACAAAATACAAAGTGGTTACGGAAGTTATAAAAATTGATCCTTTAATCGTTCAGTCTTTGACGGATCAAATAATCGTTTACTCAATGATGGCAGATAATAGAAAATACCTGGAAGCTTACGAACAACTTGTGGTATCTGTGTTTGATATCTATTCAAAGCTACATCGAGTGGAAAATCTAGTGTCTAAAATGGTGGGAACTTTAAAACAAACGATCAATGTACATTCTGGTAGTGGAAAAGAGAAAGTAAATATGTTTGAGGAGTATGACTTGAGGGTTGAAGATATCTTCACAAAGAATATTTTATCAACTTTCAGCAGGTGCATCAGTAGCTTGGCCAGCTGGCAAGTGATAAATGTATTCAAAACACTTATTTACTCTTTGAAAGAGTCTCTAGAAAGAATGAGTGATGGTGAAGGTAAGTTGGAGTTTATTTTCAGTTGTTGTTTTTATTATAATTATGTATTGAATAATTTGTTCCAAGAAAGCTTTTACCCAATTATAATATATTTATAGGAGGCTTCTTCTTTGACTTCAATTATGTTCTGAAAAATATTGACCGTAAATGCCTGTTATAGCCTTTATCCTCATGGACTTTAACGTTATAAACATGACGGTTGATTCATTCATTTCTTATACATTTCAAAATCACCGTTTACTGTATCGAATTGTTCAGTACATTTCATCCCAGACATTTTTAGCAGCTGCTTGTAGTGTCTCGAATTTAACACCTCCTCTATTTTGGAAGGGGTAGATTGTTCCTATGACTATTATAAAAAAGAATAGTAATCTTACCGTTTCTTGTTGAGTGAGTAGTTTAAATGATTTAAAACTCACATCTTCGAACCAATCGTAATTGACTACCTTGCAGCCAATCATAAATGAGCAAATTCATAACTTCACAGTTGTCTCGCAATTATTTTCAATCACATGTAAGTCTTGGGAATTTCCTACATAAAAATTATGTTCTGCGATGTCAAACTTAACCATTGAACTGCCACCAGATTTGGCCCTCTGTCACAGAGAGCCAAATCTGGTGAATACTGTGGCTGAGGCATGATTTAGGTGTTTTTTTGACCAAAAAATTACTAACAAAAACATGTATGTTTCTTGGGAAATAAATCTTTATTATTTTTATTGAATTTTGTTTTGAAGTATTTATGAGTCACAGAAATAGTAGAGTATTATAGGTACTAGCAAAAAATTGTCATTGTTTGCTCGAAACTTCATTCTCACGATAAATGGCCACAGTGTATTATGATACAAAATGAAAATAATTATTCATAGTCAAATGTCTTCAAAGTTTTTCATATAACATACAGTTATTATACATGTATTTCCGAATATATTGTTATTTAAATCTATTCAATTCTGTATTTTTTGTATTCTGTTGCAGGCAACAAGAATATTGGTATTTATATGCATATTTTGAGTGTTCTGATAGGCACGTTTCTCTCAAGCATAAGAGTAGCAGAGCATACAGTGACCGCCAACGTTATTGAAAAAACGATAAAGTGTTTGGATGAATTGCAAGAATTACTACGAACGTTCGGAATCCATCTTCTCAACAGAGAGCATGTTAGTATTACTTGCTTGAATATGATAGAATATTGAATTACCTCTGTTCTAGGATCATATTTTGATGAGATCGTTTCTGAACATTGCTTTTTATTGGGCCGAAATGTCTATGATATTGAAATATTATTCTGTGTCTATGAAAAATGAGCCCGACGATAAGCTTCCGGATAGCAATTATTCTCCGTGTAATTTGACATTCATACACTCGTATTTGAACGTTCAAGAGTGGTGTTTGATCTCGGAGAGAATCACGAATTTCGGAGAACCTCCTTGTAAGCAGCTGATGGTAAGTTTGATACGATTATACACTGCTCAACAATTGTAAACTTTCACGGCCGGAGATAACTGCATGAAGAAACTAGTTGGTTAGTCAGTTCAATTCTAGGACTCGATAGATGACTTGTAAGGCATGCTCTAAGTGAGTGTGACACGTGGGTTGATCGGACAATGACAAATCAAAAGATATACAGTTTGTGGCACAGAAAACTAAACAGATGGAATATCTTCAAGACACGTTTGTTGAGAGAAAAATGTAAAAACAATATAAGGGGAATATTTTCTATAATAATCTCAACCGTCTGCTCTCCAGCCCTGGTTGACCATCAGTCTTAGAATTTGAATAGGGAAAGTACTAAGTTGTGACATATCATTCGAAAGGGAATTTTATAAGGAGCTCATCCATGTGACTTCACTGCGGTACTTTTCATTTTGGCGCCCTCTTACGTGAAAAACAATGTCATTAAGTAGCTCCAGAAATGCGAGTTCCCATCGTTTCTCTGATAATCCCTTTGTATAAGGGTGGATCCAATGATGACCCTTCCAAATTCCGTCCTGAAGCACTTAGTCCTACCTTGCTAAACTCATAGAAAAACTAGTGAAAAGCAGAATTTCATGTTTTTGCAATGATAATAACATCCTTACTTTTCGTCAATTTGGATTACAAGCAAATAAGGGTACTAATGATGCTATGTTCTCTCCGTTAGAAACGATATACTCCGAATATAACGCTAAAGAAGCAGTCGCTGCTATTTTCTGTGATCTATCGAAAGCTTTCGACTGTGTCAACCATGAGATCCTTCTTAATAAGTTGCAACAGTATGGCTTCAGAGGCAACACTCTCCACTGGTTTCATTTGTACTTATCAGGTCGCAAACAGGTAGTTAAAACAACCGAGTGTTCCTCTGCTTAAACTATCAAATGTGGTGTACCACAAGGATCGATCCTTGGCCCAATTTTGTTTCTTATCTACATAAATGACTTAGCTTTTATAGATATAACGGCCACAATTACTCTCTTTGCTGATGACACCACTTTATTATGGCACAACAAGGACATTCCTACCCTTCAAGATGCCATCTCAGCTGACATCAACAAAATCAAAGAACGGTGCGACTGCAATAAGTTATCATTTAATATCAATAAAACTAGCATACTTACCTTCCACTGCAACTTACTTGAGATCTGCCTTGGTGACAAAATCTTAGGCAGGGTACATAATTATAAATTTCTAGGGTTGAACATTGATGATAAACTGAAATTTAAAAATCACACAATGAACTTAAGCAAGAAGCTTGCCTCAGGTTGCTATGCACTAAGAGTGATTTCCAGAGAACTAGGCTACTCCCATTCAAGAACAGCTTATTTCGCTCTAATAGATCCCCATATTAAATATGGAATTGCCTTCTGGGGAGTCTGTTCTAGAGATTTATTTCAAATGATTTTTGTGCTCCAAAAAAGGGCTGTCCGATATATGTGCAAAGCAGCTCCCAGGGATCCATGCAAGCCTCTTTTCACAGCTCAGGGTGTTTTAACAGTAGCTGCCCTGTTTATCTTGGAATCAATTTGCTTGATAAAAAAAATATTCTTGTGCATCTCCCCCTTCCTCATATAATACTTGTAGCCACAATAGTAACATAGATCTGCCTATTCCTGCGAGCTCCCTTGTTAGGGATTCAATTATATTCAACGGGATCAAACTGTTTAACCACTTACAAGCCCGAATTAAAGAAATTATAGTGCTTAACAAATTTAAAAAAGCAGTTAAAATGCTACTTGTTGATAGGGCCTATTATTCAGTTCAGGAGTATCTTGACGATTCACTTGAATCTTAACTTTTATTTCTATGTCTTGTTATTTCCAGCTGAATATCTCAGTGTATTTCACATTTTTAGCTTATGTTTATTGTATTTTGTTAAATTGTGTATGTTTTTTTATGTAGATTTTTGTTTCTTACATATTATTTATGACTTTGTCTACAAGATGTAGTTCTTCAGACAATAAAGTATATTTGATTGATTGATTGATTGATTGATTGCTCCAAAATGTCGGACAATGTTTCGAGGAGACTACCATAGACTCATGTATCAGTTAATGGATAACTGTTCCAGCACCTATTGTGAAATAGTGTAGTTTGCATAGTTTTTAATTTTTTGGATTCATACAGTTTGAATTTTTCAATGTTTTTGGCTTTTTCACATTATCTTTTAAACGAGGTATCATGATTTGAAATGCAGAAAAGTTGTTTTACCCGCAAGAGGGCGCCTAGTATTTGTCAAATTGAAAGAATATTTTCAGAGAGTAAATGATTTTTTTTTTAGAAACATACTATTGAATTTTATTTTTCGGTTGACAAGCATAAATGTATAATAACATATAAGCAATAACTATAATACATGATGAAATTTGGAACAATCATGAAATACAAATCAATTCAGAGAACTAAGACTATAAAAGAAAGAAAGAAGAAAAAAATCACCTCAAAGGTGTGATTCGTTGAATTAATGCCACGTGCCACTATATGTTCATTTGTTTTTTTTTTTAGATTGACACATAATTTTCATATAAAATATTTATTTATTTGCCTATCATCATAAAATATAATTACTTCAGTTGTTGAGCAGCTTAATTGAATTGTTTGTAACATTTATTTTTTGTAGTATAAATTATTTATTCAACGAGTAAGAGCGATGCATCTTTTTCTTCCCAAAATCAATGACGATATCGTAACAAACTTATTGAGGAATATCACGACAGATCTGGATTGCATTGGAAAATATCTCTTAGAAGACAAATTTTCTGTAAATTTTTTGCTACCTAGAATGGAAACAAATACAATAGTTGGACTCGCCGAAACTTTTTTCTTGAATCATGAAAGTTTCATGAATTTCCAAAAATATCAACATATATTGAACTCCTCGATTATTTCAAATGCTGTAATATATGTTTGTATTACAAAGATGAATAAATTGATTTCCAAGCAAAAGAGGAAACGTGATGAAGACACCACAAAAGTAAAATTGAGCACAAGAATTTGCGCTTTATTGAACCCAGAATTTTTTTTAACCAACGACGAGCCTAAAAACTTACTGAAATCTGCTGTTCAGATTTATTCCGACTCTGAAAAAGAAAAAAGTTGTATCACAGAATGGAAAGTCAGCGAAGAGAAACTGTTGGATGTGTTCAGGGTTTTGAGACATTTTCCAGCTATTTACAGCTCTGATAACGTACAAAAAATGTATCTGTTATATTTTTGTTCGTTGCACAAAGATCTGTCCAGCGAGTTTCTTAAAGGGAACTATAAGAGCCTCCAGTTAACCATAGAAAACAATATTATAGGTAAGTGAATTTCTATTTTCTCTCTTTTAAAGTAGTCCCTCAATCACATCATGTTGGAGTGTTTGCACCACATCCACAGTATAAATACCCTTTACTCTGAATTGAAATTTCATAATATCTTTTTTCCAATAAACTTAAATTGTATGTTAACTTCAAACAACAGAAATATATACAAATTATTATACAATCATCTAATAAGATGCAAAATTAAAGTATTAATGATTGATTGTAAATATAGTTATAGTACTACTAACAATATATTCAAATGTAAACAGAAATTGAATTATATTATGTACAAACTCATTGAAAAAAAAATCTATATAAAATTTAAAAAAAAAATATTAACAAAAAAATAATAATAAGGGAACCAAAAATATAAAACAAATCAAGAAAAAACACTTATTTGAAAAAATACAAAAAAAAAAAAAATCAAAATGCAAAAACAAAAAGAAAAGAAAAAAAAATACAAAAACAAACAGAAATGAAAATTCAAAAAGCAAAAAACGAGGGAAAAAAATCTATGTTTGAGCTACTACTTGATGTTACTTTCAAATAGTTTTTTATTAAAACAGTCTGGCTAATTGGTTCTCCCAAAGCCAACAAATTTTAAACCACACACATACACACAAAGTAGTCCCTCTCAGTATTTTTTCCAACCGTCCTTGAGCTCTCTCTCAGCGATTCGGTTTTTATCTCCTCATCATTTGCAAAACGTCCTCCTTTTTCATGGGTCTCTTCAATCTTGAGATCAGGAAAAGTCGCAGAGGGACAAATTAGGTAAATATGGTGGCTAGGGCTTGATTACGGTGTTGTTTTTGACCAAAAAATTACGAACAAATGAATATATGTATGCCCTTCATAGACTAACAGCAACTGAAAAAAGCGCCCTCTATATGTCAATCAAGCTTTTCAACCATCTTCCTAACAGAATAAAACGGGCCAAGAAAATTGGAGTTTTCAAAAGATCACTAAAGAAACTTCTCATAGACTTAGAACCCAATGATTTGAACACATATCTCACTGGATCATTTATTTAAAAATATTTATAACAAAAAAATCTGAACCTTCTTGTTTGACGCCATTTCATTCAATGTTACCGTCCTTTTGCAATAAAAGTTTGTAATCTACTCTGAAATAAAGCTGTTTATTATTATTAATACATACATTGATACAACATCAGAAGTTGAACATATCTTTTGAATATACATACGTTTTCATTAAAAAAAAAACTATTTATTTGATAAGTGTATATGATAAAGTACCAGAGTATAAGATTATTTCTGTAGACGATGAAGTATATGAAAAAATAAATAAATTCTCACAATTTTCAGGCATGCTGCAGGAGTGTAAATTCAAACTCAGTGACGTTTTCAAAATTGAACAGCTTTGTTCAGACATATTGGACAATTTCGTTTGCGGCGAAGAAACGTTTTCTCTTGTGATAGAAAATATTTTCAGATCTAAGGAGTCTGTCCAGTATGCTAAATCAATAGTTTCGAAAGTGAGCAAGCACCTATCAAACCCTCTGTATATGCAGTGCAGTATCGTTATTATGAACGGTATTAATAGGGTAAGTTGACCAGAAAACTGTAGCTTCGTAGGCTGATGATTAATTTTCAGTTAAAAAAATCTAAAATGCCCAAGGACGTTAAGAACATTGCCGATAGTTACAAGGAACTTATATGCGAGAGAATTTTACAGCTGGTGCTGAAGAATGAACCGACAGAGAGTTTGGTAGCAGGTTACGCCTATTCTCTCAAGCATTACCTGTCTCAAAACAACGCTGACAAAATAGCAGAGTTTCTTAATGTTTTTGACAAATATAATCAGTTTGCTTTGGGAGATGGAAATAATTTCGGAAAAACTGGGTATTTAACGTTGTTTACGACGGTTTTGCAAAATAAGTCAAAAATAAAAGCAGTAGGAGAAGCCTTCCCCCTTGATGTTTGGAATGCTTGCAAAGGAAACGATTCAGTCTACACCAGATCGGAGGAATATTCCCAACTAATTTCATTGATTGTCGGGCACATACCAAATGAAAATTTTGAGTTGTTCACGAAAGATTTGCTCAATATTTCGGTAAGATCCACCTCTGAATTTGAGTACTTCAAAATAAGTTGTGATTTTTTTGCAGGAAAGTGCTTTGGCGAAAGAGGACTTTGAACTGTTTCCAAAACACCTGAAAACCTGGGAAGCCATTCTATCTTCTGACATGAATCCCGTCAAATGCAAAGTTTTACAAAGTGCTCTAGAGAACTTGCTGTACCAAATATTTAACTTACTGGAAAGTCATGAATATGATGCTGAATTGTTTGAGAGTGTATTGAATATTGAAAAGGTCATCATTCAGACCAGTCATGTAAGTAATCTACACGTCACTCCATCTTAAATCAGACTGTATTCAAAACAAAAAACTCTAGAATAATAAAACAGTTCACAAGTGCTGGTAAATGTCCAATGCTTGTTGTAAAAAATTATTATACATACATTTACTCCAGAAATATCTCTACAAAAGTACTCTTGTGTCTGAAGACTGTATCGAGGAGAGATTAGATTAGATTAATATGGGGCTTCTGTGGTGAACAGCCACTACACTGCGACCTTTGCATATCTATTGTGTGGGTCCTCATGTATGCTAGAGTTCCTTGTCTAGGCCCGTCCTTGTAACTAGACTCCATAGGCCAGACCGCAAGTTCCCCGTAATAATAATAATATTTATTCACCATTTGTGATACATAGTGTATATATGGTGAATCAATGATTATTTACAAAAAATTATGGAATCAAAGTTTGAATAAAAATTAATATTTGCATATACAAAGGTATAGGTACATATACATAGATATATAAAATGCTAATTAAAAATTGAATAAAAAAATGTGGCAATTTTGCTTGCCGTAGTCAAATAAATATACATATGTATATGTTTACATATATACATATATTTACAAACATGTACACACATATTTAAAAAAAAACTATAAAATCGCCAGTCAGAACACTGAAACTAAAGCAAAACAGCAAGTGAAAATTTAGAACGAATATATATCTTATTATCCTTCTGTGACAGAATCCTCTAAATATTCCTTAAGACTGTAGTAACATTTGTCCAGTAATAAGTTTTTAACTTTCTTACTGAACAAAGTTGAAGAATTCAACCTCTTTATAGAAAGTGGCAGTCTGTTATAAAAATTTATGGCATTATATAATGGAGATTTTTTTAAATAATCACTCTTATGTGAAGGGACCCTCAGAGCAGTAGCATGGCGAGTATCACGACCGTGAATGCTCAAGTTCGTTATATACAAGTCAAGGTTCCAGTGCACAAAAATGACATATTTCATTATATAAATTGCGGGTGCAGTCAACAAGCGTTCTCTTTTGAAAACGGGTCTACAACTTTCTTGGTACCCCAGGTTGAATATCAATCTTATCAGTCGTTTTTGAAAGATGAAAACCCTAGAAAATTCCTTTGCACATCCTCAAGCCATTATGTTGAAACTAATGTGGGAGTATGCATTCGCAAAGTAAACATTTAGTAAACCAAACCTATCTAAACAATGGTTCAACTGTTTGATCGAATAATAAGCGGAATTGAGTTTACTCAACCTAAGCGACTTCTCCAGGTGAGATTCTCATCTTAAATAGTTCCAAAAAAATCAACTTCTTTTGATATTTTTATGTCATTCAAAGTGACTAAATTACAACAGAAATCCCCCCTAACAAATGTTTTCATCAGCACTGACTTTGTTACGTTGACACCAACTACCAATTCGTCAATAACTAAATTAATTTTCATCGATAATTCATTCTCATTTTTTCCAGAAACAGTGATTGTATTATCGTCAGCGTACATAGTTATGTGACAATCTGATATGAATTCAGGCAAGTCATTGATAAAAGTCAAGAATAACAATGGACCCAGGACAGATCCTTGTGGAACACCTAGTTTCACATCATAAGGAAGTGATTTGATTCCATTACATTTAACCACCAAACTACGGTTTTCCATGTACGATTCTATCCAACACAACACATTATTGGGAAAGCCCATTACTAGTAATTTTTTCAATTGAAATTTGGAAGAAACAGTATCGAATGCTTTTGATAGATCTAAAAAAAGGGAAAAAACCAGGTTATTATTATCCACTTGTGCATAAATATAGTTCAATAGTTGATAAGATGCAGATTCAATTGATTTACTCTTCCTAAAACCATGTTGATTATTGCAGAATAGGTCATTTTGTTCAATATACATACATCAAAATTCTATTACCTATTATTTTCTCAAAGAGTTTTGAAAAGGATGAAATCAACGAAATCTGCCTATAATTGTCAATTTCTGTTATCCGACCTTTTTTGTGCAGTGGAAATACAAGAGCCCTCTTCAATTCATCTGGGAAAAAACTCCCATAAAAGGACTGGTTAAGCAAAAATATATTAAGAGGGTTGTGGTTTTCCCTCTCCTAATGTTGCAAACCTTATCCTTGACAGACAGACAGGAGAGACAGACAGGAGAGATACATACGTTCTAGAAAAGTTTCAAAATAAAATCTTCAAATATTCATTTCTCCCAACAAGCAACAAGTTCATATAAATTCCTGTCGGGAAACAGCTTCTTCCCCGGCTAATACCACGATGGATATTGAATTATATCCGATAGGTTATTCTTGCAGATGTTTCTTGTTCATTCAACAGCAGTCCATGCTGGAATTGTTAAAATAGATCAACACGGCTCCAGGTACTTTGCTGTCTGAGTCGGAAAAATCCAACCCAGACAGACAAGATTTGAAACTATCTTCTACGAGCTATTGGATTCTTTCGTAGTTCAAACTGCTTTTAGGATGATCAATAAGTTTGTTAAATTAAGACTTTGAACTCGGAGTTTAGAGATTTTCAAAATAATTTCTTCATCTGGTATTTATAAAAATAGCTGAAAATACCAGGAGCTATCGAATATTATTATTATATTTAACACAAATTTATATTTTTAGATGAATCTAACGCCGGCAATAATGGATATACTCCTCTTGAATATGACAACATTACTGAATAAACAAAGTGGTGACTTTCCGAAGATCTGTAATTTTACTGTATCTTTAATGTCGAGCTTATTGAAATATAGAAAACCTCTAGTCATGGACCGTTTACCACCGTTTCTGCAGCAATACAGAAAAATATTGAGAGCACTATGTGAAAGAAGCAGTTCTGATTCAGATATCGATGAAAATTCCATCAAGGAGATTTCCGACTGTGCCCATCAGCTGGAGAAACTGACGAAGATTCTAGTAAATTTCCAGAAGGATATGGGAAGAATCGCCATGTACCTGATAGCGGATATTTTAGAGCAATATGAGAATGTAACGTTACTCGCAAACGTCAAGGTTAGTTGCCGTAGAATTCTCGAGTTTTGATAAAATATTCATATTTTCTCTTTGTTTTCAGATTCACTTGAACAACTGTATATACAGTCTGATGTCTATATGCGATCAACATGCAGTTTCTTATTTGATGAGGGTTTTATCCAGTGCTTCTACAGAAATATTTAAAATTATGTATGAAAATTACAAGAAATATTATAGATTTACTGGAAAAGTTTGATTATGTAGTTTGATTTCATTTAAATTTCAACCCGAAGGTCTTGGTCCATGTCAACTTTATAAATATGATAGAACTGACCGAAACTTGATGAAAATCCATTACAAAGTATTCAAAAAACACTATAGTTAATGTAAGATTTCCACTTTGAAGTTTACAAAACCCCAACACGTGTTTCGCTATTCAATAGCATCTTTAGGCGTCCCAATACTGTTGGAACAAATTCTGTGCCATGCTTTCATAGTAATTTTGAATCATTATGAATCATTAAATTTCTACATGATAAATTCATTATCTAAACTATTCACCTATCAAGGAACAACTCATAAGACTGGAGTAAAATGAATACATTTTTTACCGGAGCTATCATTTTACCTACTTTCAAGATCTGTCCCAATTACCAATTTCCTTGTGTCAAAAGATGATTCGCAAATGTTGAACTGGTTTTTTCACTTGAATAGCTACTTATATGATCTTTTATTCTTTTGGAAAAAGTTCTCCCGGTTTGTCCGATATAAAATTTTGGACAAGAACCACAAGTCAACTTATATACTCCTTATCTATCCATTACTGGAGTTTTATCTTTATTGTTTTTAATGAATTATATTATCTATTCTGTAAGCTACGTCCAATTCTTTCTTTTTCAAAAAACGAGCGATATTATTAGGATCACCAAAGTGAATTAGAGCTACATTATGTTTAGTGTCATTCTTTGAAACCTGGTTCGGAGCTTGTTTCTGCAATTTTTTGTAAATAATTGAGTCAATAATATCCACTTCGTAACCGTTGCTAACAGCAATATGTTTTATGAAAATCAGTTCTCTTTGAAAATTACTTTCTGAAAGTGGAATATTCAGTAGTCTGTGAATCATTTCATTAAATCTTGTGAGTTTGATCTTCCTCTTGAATGTTGCTGCTTTATGTTGATATGGATTTATATATGAATTGTGTATAATAATATGCGTGTAAGATGGTTTGTGGGTAATTGCAAAATCATGTTTATTAATGATTCTAACTGATGGTTGAGTCTGAAAAATTTATGGTTATTCACTTTCATCTCAGTCGTGAATTCAATCGAAAGGTGGAAGAAATTGACAAATTCGATAAACTTACCCAACTGCCGGCCTGTATCAGAAAAATAGACAAAATATCTACTTATCTGTACCAATATGAAAAATTGTTAATTAGTCTATTGGTATGGATTTTATTCTCTAGGTTGTCCATGAAAATTTCAGCTAACAAGGGGTTTCCTATTACAGACTTTCGCTACAAAAGTAAAAATCATTGAATTGAAAATGATTTTTAGTTAAGCAAATCTTAAAATGAGTTAGGCAAACCTATTTTGAAGTTATGCGCCGCTTGCGAGAAGCAATACGAAGAAAACGTATTTTGGAAAAACAATTCATGGTTTTTACATTGCGATTATGTACCTGCCGACTCGTTATTGCTTGTTCGAAATTATTTCGAAATTATATTCATACCTTGGCCACTGTATTTACCAGATTTGTCCCCCCGCGACTTTTTTCTATTCCCAAGATTGAAGAGACCCGTAAAAGGGTCGGTGTTTTGCTACGATTGAGGAGATAAAATCCGAATCATTGAGAGATCTCGAAAACACCAAAAGGCGAATATCAGAACTGCTTAGAGGATTGGAAAAACCGCTGGCATAAGTGTATTATAGTTATCTGAGGGGGACTACTTTGAAGGAAACAAAATAGAAATTGAACAGAATAGTATATAACAAATTCTGTAATAGTGGTGTCCTGAAAACATTTACTTCTTCGGATAAACAACAACAAATTTTAGGTCAGAATCCAATCAAAATTCATCCTTGCTGATGATTAATAATTAATATGACTCATACCTACGATATAACACATTCAAGAAGTTAGAATCTGGAATAGTCTTGGAGATGACATCACCTCATATTCTCTTCTGTCGCGAATTCGACAGAGTCGTATTAAGCCCGTAAGTTGCTCTTGGGCGCGGCATAACTTTGGTTCGTTGATTCAACACTTGAACCTAGTGGTGTTATAGGGATTCTAAGAAATATTCATTCATTATTATAACCACAACCAGAAACAACCAGAAATTTGGAAGACAAACTCTCAAGTATACACATAAAATCTGCCAAAGCAGGTTAATTGTCTATCCAGAAAATTTAGCTTAAATATTACCTACTTTTATGTCATGTTATTATAACCAGACATTTGGAATGATTTAAATTCTTTAGTATACATATAAACTCTGTCAAAGCAGGTTAATTGTTTATCCAGAAAATTTAGCTTAAATATTACCTACTTTTGTGTAATGTTGTTTTAATGAATACTGATTCCTATATTATAAACTTCGTCTTCGTGGTAACTTGCTCCAAAATATCTATAAAGAAGTAATTGAATATTCTTGTTGTTCTTTCAAAGGAATAGTTATTTTCAATATTTGTTTGAAGTATATTTCATTAAAAATTGTATACAGCAATAGTTTATCATAAATCCAAAACACTTTTCCCAATCATCAGAAATGCAAAACTCATCAGAAATACAGTTGATCGTTAACATAGCAGTGAAATAACAACTGGCAACTATTTAACATGAAATTGACACTTTGATTTTTGAAAGTTTTTATTATTCCGCAATTATCGATGAGAAAGTTATCGAAGTGCTCGAAAAGATGGTAGTCGATTGGCGAGAGGTCTGGAGAATATCGTGGGTGAGGCAGAACTTCGACGCTAAATTCGTTCAATTTTCGAACGGTGATTTGTGAAACGTACGGCATAAAATGAAAATTTGGGAAAAAATTAAATTATCAATGTATAGAGTACAAAATTCTCTATCGATCAGTATATCCCACGACACAGTAGAGTAAATATGTATTGAGATATGGAGCTATACAAAATCATATGATATCAATACCAGCAAAACTTTTGGAACAACCTCATACAAGTCAGATATGAAGTACAAATTAATAAATTTGACAAAAAATATTACTATATTTGAATAAAATCCGGATACAATTCCCACAAACTTATCATTATTAAGTAACTGTTTATTGAAAAGTGAAGTTCTCATAATCATTAGTGTTCCCTGGCTATTTCTGCTGATAATACCTATCATATCATCTTTCTGAAAATGTATGACGTGAGATTATGCCTATGAATGACTAATCATGAATTGAGAAAAGTGGTTTAAACTGCATCTGTGCAAAACGTACAAAAAATTCAATCCAAATGTAAATTATAACTCATAATCTGCTAAGGTTACACTTGGAAGATGTGCCATTATTTTTATTAGCAACTAGAGTAGGTTCCGCAGTAGTAGCCAACATTTTTTGTTAGGCTAGTCCGGTCCTGCGCGAGAGACGCGCAAACGTGGAACATTTATATACTTTGAATTGTCTACGTATTCAGTTTGAATTTCGATAGTGTAGTGCGTGCCAGGTGGAATTACCAATAACTTCAACATGAGTGTCATCCGTAAGTTTATTAGCATTCTTTCAGAAAGTTCATAGCTTCTGAAACGTTATCTAACGCTGAAAGTAAACAACATTAATATTTTGTTCAAATAAGAAAGATACCTAATCTGAAAATTTTGAGGGATTGTCTTTTATCAACTCTTGATAAGATAACTGAATCACGATCGCCGACAGAAATGTAGGTGATTGGTAGTTTGACACTATCGAATGCAGATTGTTATTTTCATAAGTTTGATCCAGGAATGTTGGGATAAATGCTGCAAACAAAATTTTTATTAAAAAGGCGTACCTTTCGTACCTATAACGGTACAATAAATTATTCATTCCACGATGTTCCCGCATCCACATAATTTTAATTAAACACCAATGTTGAAATAGAAACCGTTAGGAGTTTTTGAATACAAATTGGGGCGTTCATGTTTTATTTTATTTATTCATTATCACAATGGCCCATTTTTCATTGGGCGTTCTATAAGATTACGAACATCCGTAGAATCCCCCAGAAATTATGCGGTATAAAATTTCCTGCACTTTGTAACGTGTTATTAATAGACATTATAGTTATATCAACATTGTATTGTTGCCTAATTTTCATGACATCTTTTCAAGCCATACACGTAGAACTTTTTTGAGAAAAATATCAAACAAGAATCGTCTAAAAGATCAATAAAAAATTATCTAGAATGTCTTTTACATCCAATATAAAGTAATGAGTACCAACTAAATGACAACAGATCTAAAAATAGGTGTTTGTGTTACGCCATCAAGTAATATACAAACAGATTGAAATGGTCAAATGAAGTTGGAGGTCGATTCATGGGCGTGACTGATTTTTCGTCATTAGAGAACATTTCAATTGTGGGTATTATTTCCATTGAGGGATTGTGGTATCGTGGAATCGTATAGTTGAATTTGTCCCTTACAGTAAATTGAAATGTGTACAATGCTCACCTAGCTTTGAATTCGCAATTTTAGAAATAGGAATTCCCTAGTAAATCCATCTTGGTGTATACCCAGATAAAAAATTTCATCGTCGCGGTAAAAGATCCTCGAAAAAATCTTCGATGTACGAGGTCTGTTCAAAAAATAAGATTAATGTTCAAATTTAGCATGATTAGTTTGATTTGTGAGAGCCATAAAAGGGAAAATATAAATTGATGAATCAATAAATACTTTTTGAGAAAAATTAAAACACCTCATTTTTTGAACATACCTCGTACATTCAACATGTCAACTTCTTCCAAGAGACTACAGAATAAATTCTGTAGTCTCGACTAGATATCCTTTATGGGAATTTTGATAGATATTGGTAATAACAATATTGAACGGGGGGGTTTAGTTATTAATTGATCGATAAGATTTGACCTCGAAGGAGCCATACTGTTGCATGCCTTTGGAAGACAAATTTGAATAAACATGTACCTATTTATGGTAGATCCCAATTTTTTTTTTTTCAGAAAAGTTGAATGCTTGCGAGTTTGTAGGATTTATTATATTTAGATTCAAGACTTCTCAGAAACATATATAGTAACCGTCAAAAGGGGCGCTATATAGACACGTCATACAACACTGTTCATCAAAAAGTGTTTTAAAATGAGTCTTGTAGTACATAACATGATTTCAAAACTAATTACTCATTAGAGCATATTTTAGACAATTATACCGTTATAATTCCAGGTGAAAAATATTTTTTTCTAGGCTTCCAATAACATGTAAGTGAATGGTTTCAACAATATTGTCAATATTAAAATTAAAGCTGTTGTAGAGTGAAGAATCGGAAAAAAGTCCCTCATAACTGTAGATAGTTTTTCGATGAAAATCAAATCAAATTCTGGTTCTTTTTTTCAGAAGATTCCTTAGTTGAAACTTTTTTCTTCAAATAAAGCACGTTTTAATTTTTTTATGATTTATTATTTTTGAAATTTGAAACATTTTTGTCGGCTCAAGAACTCGGTGATGTAAAAATTAAGTAAAATAAACTTAGGATTTCAATTTGCTTTCGGAAGATTTCAGGAGTTTAATATTTTTCCTGTTATCTATTGAAGGATTGTAGAAAAATGTCACCGGGCATGCATCAAGATAAGAAAACCGTGAATAATAAAAATGAAATAAATTCGAAACAAGATGTGAATATACCATGTAAATAAAAATCATTGATGCAAAACACGCTCCTGTATCACACATATTTTTGAGAACTTATTCTACTGTATAGTTATCAAAAAACGAGATATTTGCATTACTTTTTTTTATTTCAGACATGTTTTTCTTTTTTCGTCTGCAATTGAAAAAAAACCAATTCCATTTAGAAATGTTAACTACTATGTTTCATTAGTATTGCAATCAGGTACTGTGAGGAATCGATTCGTCGTGGAAAACAAAACTCGATAAATATTATTGACTTCGACGACGTCAGCGAGGCCTTTGGCGCCCAGGAGTCACCTCCACAATCCGGCGATGATGTAACTCCACAAGTATTCTCGATCGATTGTAATGTATGTTCTCGTTGGTTTTCTTCGCGTCTCATTCCCTGCATCAGACTACGTGTTTCCTGCAGTGGTCACGGCACACTTAAAGCTCGAATGAAGGGCCTGATTTCACCGCAAACACGATTTCCTAAAATAGCTGCCATTACTTCGAATATCATTGACTATATTGATTTCTGTTAGGAATGATACATTCACCTTTCCCAACGTTCCTACACAGTAGGATCTAGCAAATGCACGCCGGGAAATAACTGCTTCCCCGGCTGATGCCACGACTGAGATTGAATTATATCCAACAGATAAGTGTGCAAGTTTCATTACAGAGCTTTCTTATAGTTAAATGCTCGTGCAATCTAAAGCCAACACGTTTTTTTGATATCTTTACAATGGCAGCTGAGTCATGCAACTTCACTTTTCGATCATTCACAACAATTTTGTGGATTTTTTTTTATGTTTCCCGGTGTTACTGCCTCATCATTATAAATTAAAACAGGAAGTTGTTTCTGATCCATTGTTTCGAAAATAGTGTCACTCTTATAGTATAATAACTTAGAAAATTATGAATAGAATATCATGAAATTTCAACAGCTTTCGTTTGAAGATTAGTACTAACTGAAAAAGCAGTGTAGTACCTATACCTAATACAATGACTTTTGGTGATCTCACTGTTACAAATAGGATCTATATTGCCAACCAATTTTTTATACAAATCAATCCTTACATCCTTATGATACCCATGTTACATCTTGGTTAATGTGTCCAATTATCACATTGAAATTACGAAAATCTACGAGAAACTGTTTGAACTTGATACCAACAAAGGCCTTGGTCCTGATGGAATTCCCCCTACTTTTCTTAAAGCATTTATAGTCCGTTCATAATTTGTCGATAGCACAAAATGAGGGCCCAAGTCATAAAACGGTCGTAAAACTCGTAAAATCATAGGCGGAGGTTCCTGAGGTGTTTATTCATTAAATATAAAGCTTCAGTTTATATTCGAAACTTGCCTTGAAAGGGTGAAGTTGTTACGAACGAAAATAATTTTTGGTTTAGTACATTTTTTAATCGCATTTAATTTACGGCTCGTTGGTGTTTCGGCGTCTACGGCAGTAATTAACGTCTCTAATATTTATTTTGCGAATTTTGTGCAGTGCGTGAGTAACTTTTTTTCATATTCCTACAAACATATACGTACCTTTCGTTCCTGCTTGTTTTGTTTGATTGCTTGCGATGG